TCCACGGATACCGAGGCCAACTGTATCCAATATCAGCCAGCGAACGAGAATATAATCTGACATTGTAGCAGTCAGATTTTTTATTAAATAAGGTTGTTTCGAAGTAATAGATAATAACCCCAAATCTTCTCAATGAAAGCAAAGATCAGAAATGAGTTGGTTCTCCTTTTCTTTGCCTCGTTTTCTTTCCAAACCAAAGCACACAAATCTTTAATATTCTGCAGCTTCTTCAAACAGAGTTAGATCTCCTAATGGGTCTTAGAGGAAAAAAAGAGTTGGAAAAGATGTATTTCAGGCATACTTTGCTGTCTCTGCTAATAATGAAAAGCTCTGAACTCCCAACATTATCAGCCCGGGATGTCATTTTGTACTAATTGGGATAGCAAAGGGGCAACCTAATAAGATCAGACTCTTCCCGCTGACAGCTGATGCACTAATGCGTGTTCTGCTTATTGTAAGCTGTATTTAAATTATATCCGAGGTAGGAGTTATATACGATCTGACATCAGAAGGAGATTTATACCCACTCCTTTATAAAGTCTACTTCTTCAGTTCTGCTAGGGATTCAACTTTTAATGCCCAACTGCCATGGAGCACGAAGAGATCAAGCCACCCTTATCTTTCTGTACATTCAAGGGATGCACTCTCTTTGCCCAGGGTAGGAAAACCCAGCCAAGAGGGCCTTCAAAACAGTATCTGGACATCACTTGGCACCTTCAAAAAAGCATCAATGTTATGCCAATTGGCTGTTCAAGCAAGAGGACTGGAAACAGCCAGGAGGTAAAGACTCCAGATGGCAACCTCTAGACCATTGGCATTTCATGTGACTAACATTTAAAATCTGTGAGCTTCTGTCCTTTATGAGAAATAGAAAAATAGAATCATGGAATGTCAGCGATGGAAGGAATTGCAAGGAACATCTAGTCCAAATCCCTGCCTTGAAGGAATATATAGCTACAGCATTCAAATTCTCTATAACAAAGAAATATGCAACCACAGAAATCTAGAAATATGAAAAGAACTGTTTAAAGATCTCCAAAGATGGAAAGCAAAGATGGCCACCATGGCAACTATGGGGCTGTCCCAACTAGTATCTGGCCCTACCCACTGTGCTGGACACACACTTGACCTGGTCTTCTGTCAGGGCTGGGAAGAAGGTGGCGGTGTGGAGGAGCTGTCAATCTCTCCTTTGCCGTGGACCGACCACCATCTGATCAGGTTTAGACTCGTTGCAACTTCTAACCTCCGCAGGGGTGGTGGACCCATTAAGATGGTCCGCCCCAGGAGGCTTATGGATCCAGAAGGACTCCTGATGGCTCTTGGGGATGTTTCCGCTGCCTTGGATGGTGATTCTGTCGATGCCCTGGTCGCTCACTGGAATAGGGAGCTGACTAGGGCAATAGACACGATTGCTCCGGAGCGCCCTCTCTTAAGTCGCCAAGCGAAACCTGCCCCTTGGTTCAACGAGGAGCTGGTGGAGCTAAAGCGAACAAAGAGATGGCTAGAGAGCGTGTGGAGGAAAAAGCCCAGCGAGCCAAACCGAACACGTCTACGCCTTTATCTAAGGGCGTATGGCGCGGCAATAGAGGCCGCGCAAAATGCTTTCTACTCGGCCAATATTGCGTCCGCAAGGAACCGTCTGGCAGAGCTGTTCCGAGTAGTCAGAGAGTTGTTGAATCCCACCTCGAGTGGGTCCCCTGACGACTCGGCAGCGCGCTGTGAAGCATTTGCTCAGTTCTTTGCGGACAAAGTCGCTTTGATCCGCGCGGGCTTTGACACCACATTAACTGCAGTCTCTGAGGATGTAACTCAAGCATCTGCTTGTCCAATTTTGTTGGATTCGTTTCAATCTGTTCAACTTGATGAGGTCATCAGGGTTCTGGGAGAGGCGAGACCTACCACATGCATCCTAGACCCCTGCCCTTCCTGGCTGGTAAAAGAAGCCAGAGGGGGTTTGGCAGAGTGGGTAAAGGTGGTGGTTAATGCCTCCCTTCGAAGGCAAGATTCCAGCCAGCTTAAAACAAGCTGTCATCAAACCGCTGTTGAAAAAACCATCACTAGACCCCACTCAATTCGTCAACTTTCGGCCAGTCTCCAATCTCCCCTACTTGGGCAAAGTCCTGGAACGTGTGGTGGCCTTGCAACTCCAGGAATTCCTGGTGGACACGGACTATCTAGATCCGTCACAGTCTGGCTTTAGGCCGGGACATGGTACTGAGACAGCCTTGGTCGCCTTAGTTGATGATCTGCGCCGGGAACTGGACAGGGGGAGTGTGTCCCTGTTGGTTCTGCTGGACCTCTCTTCGGCCTTCGATACCGTCGACCACGGTATCCTTCTGGGACGCCTCGCGGGAATGGGTCTTGGGGGTACTGCCTTGCAGTGGCTCCGGTCCTTTCTCGAGGGTCGCTCCCAGAAGGTGTCACTAGGGGACTCCTGCTCGACTCCTCGGCCATTGCACTGTGGAGTCCCGCAGGGCTCAATACTGTCCCCTATGTTGTTTAACATTTACATGAAGCCGCTTGGGAGAGATCATCCGGAGTTTTGGGGTGCGATGTCATCTGTACGCAGATGATGTCCAACTCTATCACTCTTTTCCACCTACCACTAAGGAGGCTGTTCAGGTCATGAACCGGTGCTTGGCCGCTGTCTCGGACTGGATGAGGGACAACAGATTGAAACTAAATCCAGACAAGACAGAGGTACTCCTGGTCAGTCGTAAGACCGAACAGGGTACGGGGTTACAGCCTGTGCTGGACGGGGTCACACTCCCCCTGAAAGCACAGGTACGCAGTCTGGGAGTTCTCCTGGATTCATCGCTGAGCCTGGAACCCCAGGTCTCAGCGGTGGTCAGGGGAGCATTCGCACAATTAAAACTTGTGCGCCAGCTGCGTCCGTACCTTGGGAGGGCTGACTTGGCCACGGTAGTACACGCTTTGGTTACATCCCGCTTAGACTACTGCAACGCTCTCTACGTGGGGTTGCCTTTGAAGACTGCCCGGAAGCTGCAGCAAGTCCAACGCGCGGCAGCCATATTACTAACGGGGGCTGGGTACAGGGAGCACACCACTCCGCTGTTACGCCAGCTCCACTGGCTGCCAATTAGCTTCCGAGCACAATTCAAAGTGCTGGTGTTGACCTATAAAGCCCTAAACGACTCCGGCCCTGTTTACCTCTCCGAAGTATTCTCCCCTACGAACCATCAAGATTATTAAGATCATCTGGAGAGGCCCTGCTCTCGGTCCCACCGGCCTCGCAAGCGCGCCTGGTGGGGACGAGGGACAGGGCCTTCTCGGTGGTGGCCCCGCGACTCTGGAACTCTCTCCCTCTGGACGCCAGAACCGCCCCATCCATCCTAACATTTAGGAAACGGCTGTGGAGTCAGGCCTTCGATGAATGAGACAACACCATAGGACCCTGGATGGAAGTTGATGTAGATCCATCTTAATAGGACGACTGACCACTGTAGTTTTATATATAGTGTTTTTAAAGTTGTTTTTGTAATTGTGATATATGATATTTTAATGAGTGTATATGTTTTTTTTTATGGCTGGAAACCGGGCTGAGTCCCTCAATGAGGTTGAGAAGCTCGGTATAGAAAACTGTGAAATAAATAATAAATAATAAATAAAAAGCAGGGAATGAATAAATAAATAAATAAATAAATAAATAAATAAAAATACCAGCACTCTTAAATTTTGCCTGGAAATGACTGCCTCCATACTGGCAATATGTGCGAAATTTCATTTGAAATCTTGTTTTAAGAGAGAATTGCACTAAATTCTCCTTCAAAATGAAGTACAAACCCCCTGTGCATCTTGTATTTTAAGATAACTGCTGCACCAAAACTTAATTCTCCTTCAAAATGAACTATAAACTTCATGTGCATCTTGTATTTGAAGGTATTTTTAATATTCTCCTACCACATCTGCAAATTTAGTGGTACAACAGCAAATTGCATCTTCATAGTGATGTATCATCTCCACCTGCCCTGTTTCGTCCTAGTGCACAGCCACAAGTTTCATGAGCTCACAAATTGTGCAAGTCTACTGACGTACAATTGGGTTTCTAAGGAAAAGTGCTAGACAACTGTTACGATTAGAATATCATATTTCAGTGTCAGCAAGTGTCTGCACCAGTAACTGCCAATTCGGCAAGTGTGTATATCATTTCCAAAGCTGCAAACCAGCTTCCTGACACATCACACACCAGCACCCCTCTTCCTGGTAGACTGTTAAACTGATTGATGCCTTGCAGAGATGTTGGCTATATTTGGAAATGCCATTAGGTGAGGAACAGCTTTGAACAATATTGAAAGGTCAAGTTACAGAAGGTCATGCCCAGATCCCCTGTCAGCAAATGGTTTGCGCCAATAGCTCAGCTTGCATCAGCTTTCATCCTCACCCAGCCACTCCTGTTTACCATTTGTGATTGTTCAGGCAATTTTCGAAGTTGGAAGGAATTATAGCCTTGTACTCACAGTATAATATTTCGTAGTCTCCCGAGTTTGACATTATGTACTTGTTATCCGGAGACCAATCAAGGTGCGTAATATAGCTGGAATGTCCCTAAAAACACAGAGACACAAAAAGATATAAGGTATCATAATTCCAGTTTACCTCCCTCTACTTCCTGCTAAAAGGTTAATCTCAACAAACAGAGGCAACAAATTATATTAATCTACACAATTCAGCTCTTCTTGTATTCCTTCTGTCAGTGAAAAATGATGCAGGCATGTTAATAGAGCAATTCTAACAATTCCTGTACTGACTCAAATATTTGCAGGTTGAGACATATTCTACAAAAAAGAAATCACACGTTGTTTTACGCAGAAAGCAACCTGTTCTGTGGACAAAATAAACTAATGCTTATCATTATATCATATTAATTAATTAATAAACAATAAAAGGCACATAAAACATGCATTTTATTGTTTTCCTGCACAGAAAATGTTTGAAAAACAATCACATGTGAATTTTGTGAAGAATTAAGTCCTGACCTGTGAATAGGAGTTGAAAATAGCATGGTTTTCAAAATCTTTCTCACAAAGGGAAGACAATTACTAAAGCTACTTCCTTTGAGAAGAAAATTAATGACAAAGTACATCTCCACTGTCAATGAGACCTAAGCTCCAGTTGTCTATAATAACTAGAAATAAAGGACCTCGGGATCCCCAACTGTCAGCCATCGTTAAATTAAATGGATGGCCATGAATGGGGCATATAGAACTATGAATTGCATTCATCACTTTAAAGTCCACTGTTCTTATTATTACAGACAAGCGGAGTTTGGATTTGGGTTATGACTAGAACCCTGCAAGACCAGGAGCAAATCTCTACTCAACCATGGAAGGTCATATTCTTTCCTAAAACGGTGGTTCTCAACAAGTGGGTCCCCAGATTTTTTGGCCTTCAATTCCCAGAAATCCTAACAGCTGGTAAACTGGTTGGGATTTCTGGGAGTTGTAGGCCAAAATACCTGGGGACCCACAGGCTGAGAAACACTGTCCTAAAAGGAGAGCAATAACAAAACTCATTTGAACAAATCCTGCCCAGAAGAACCTAAGATTCAGATGTTTGTATTCTAGGGAGAAACATAAAAGCAACAAGGATAAGGAGCAACACTTCATCTATACCAGAGAATTCACATATAGCACATTTACATCTGAAAGTTTGGCCCAGTCAAGGATATAAAGAGTCACTTGCCACTTTGGAGCCCCCGTATAAAAGGAGCAGGCAAAATGCAGTCTCTGGATATCATATGGCCCCTAGGATCATTTTTGTTTCCCTACAATGCACAAAATGCCACCAAAAGTTATCTTTGTTGCGTGGAAGACATTTCCATAATGTTTGGATTTTATACAATTTTTTATCCCCCCCCCCCAAAGAAACCCTGGAGAGCTGATGTAGCCCCCCAATCATTCCATAATTACCCCCCCCCCCCCTAAAATCTGAGGTATTATTGTACAGCAAATTTGGACAAAATATTGAAGTCATGCTTTCAGGCTTCCTTTTTTTTCTCATCTTCTCTTTCACATATGATTAAGTTGTAAATTGTAAGTTTGTCAAGCCATGCTCAGTTTTGTGTAAAGATGTAATTGCAGACTTAAGATCTGCTGCTAGATCAGAAGAGGGGAAGCACAGGACTAGAAGGCATGCTGCAGGATTAAAAAGAAAAAAAACCCACATAATCTTCCCCCCAGTTTCCTCTCTTATTCTTGCTCTTGGATTTTTATGAAGCTGGAAGCCAACACTAACAGGGAGGGGGTGGGAAGGGGGAACAGCCATTTACAAGACCCTGCCAGACATTTGGCAGCTGTTAAAATTCCTGCGGGAGACAGAGAACACAGAAAAGCAATTGGAAAGAAGCTCTTCTGTGCTGGAATATCCCTTCAAGCAAGTAACTATGACAGGAAAGATCCAAGCTTTACATTGTGGAATATAAATAGTGGCGTTTTACATTCCATTAAGGATTAAAAAAACTCTGGAAAACAAAAACTCCCTTCGACAGCTACTACAGTAGAGCAGACATATTACACTTTGCTTTGGTCATCCTGTACACCTAGTAAGAATAACAACAAAATTAAAACAATTTTTGAACATTAAAAGCATGCGAGTTTTGTTTCCAACAGTCTAGTTTATGCTAAAAACAAAACAAAAAACAAAACAAAAAACCCCAAAGGCTTCCAGAAGTAAGGCCAAATATTAGATCCACTCTTCTTGCTACTGAACTCGGGCTCAGGCATTACATCTACCTTGGACACAAGGATGAAGACTACCCATTGAAGCAATAGACTACACATGGCAGATTAACAAGTTCTCACTCAATCAATGCGTCCATGGTGGTTGGAATTGACATCTATATTTAAGTTAATGATTGCTCTCAATTTTTGCAGAAGAAAAAGATGTCCAGAACCTAGTGAACTACTGACATATGGCTAACAAAATGATATCTGTCTATCTGATCAAGTCATCTAGGTGTGTACAGTGTGAAGAATATGGTAAGTGTTTGAAAACGGAGTATGGAGACAAAGCTATTATGTATTATCGAAGACTTTCATGGCTGGAATCACTGGGTTGCTGTGAGTTTTCCGGGCTGTATGGCCATGTTCCAGAAGCATGGTGACATGGTGGCTGTGAGAGTGGTCCAGCATTTCTGTGTTCTCAAGTAATATGCTGTGTCCAGGTTGGTTCATCAGGTGCTCTGCTATGGCTGACTTCTCTGGTTGAGTTAGTCTGCTGTGCCTTTCATGTTTCTTGTTAAGAGTACAGGACAACCACCATGTCAGACTACACAGAGAAGCCACTGAAATCCACAAGTATGTGGACAATTTCAACAGAAATGAGGAAACCATGACAATGAACAAAATCTGGCTACCAATATTGAAAAAACTCTTAAATAAGGACAGTGAATAAAGAGGAACACTAAAAGAAACAGGGAAATACCTGACATGAAACAATCAGGGCCAGCTAACACCTCTCAACAAAGGATTCCCCCATGGCAGGAAGCAGTCAGGCTTTGAGGTTGTAAGGCCATCCAATGCTAATCAAAGTATCCAATTGCAATATTCACACTTGCATCAAGCACACAAGAGTTCTTTCTCCCACCCTGGACATTCCACAGATATATAAGCTTCACTTGCCTAGATTTCAACAAACCTCACAACCTCTGAGGATGCCTGCCATAGATGTGGGCATTAAACTGCTATTATTATGTAGTATGAAAGGGGGAAAAGCATCAGAAATATTTTAATTATGTATTACCACAAGTATGACTTAGGGTCCTGCTCATTTTTAACTATCTACGAAACACCTCTCCATGATGACCTAGGGTTTGACTAAAAAAACAGAACATTTCATCTGGACATCACACCAACTTTTCAGTTATCTTCTTTGTAAACTGCAAATAAAGCAAACTGGGGTTTCTTATATAGCCCTCTTTCAAACATCTTTAGAAGGCCTGATTCTGAAACAGAAATTTTCTGGTTGCCTATCACAGTGTGTTGAAATCTTACACTTCATTGGTGAATTGTTCTGCCCTTGTAATTTTGGATTCTTCTACTTGAATGTGGGTTTTGGGAGGTGAACCTGAAGTATACAATTGTGCTCTGGATGCACATTCCAGATTTTCATTTTACTTCCACAGCATACAAAACAAGATAAAAAAATGGAACAAAAGAAGATGCTGGAGGGCTGAGTGAAAACAGAACTCCTTGTACTGGGCCAATTTCTAATATGAACACAACAATACATAAAAGCTGTACCCTAAAACAGCCTTTCCGGACATAAAAAAAACATCCACAGGACTAGCAATTACAATAATGGGAATTGAAATCATGGGGATTTTGCTTTGTTTAAAGAGCTTCAGGTACAACTTAATGAGCTAAACAGAAAATCAACAAGAACACAATTTAGAGTTTATGGGGGAAATCGCAGGCTTGGGAATGACTACTTCTTGGGTTCTGGTAGAACAAACCTGTAAAGCAGAAAAAAGGTTCTTTGTTTAACACAGGCCTGTTAAACTGGCAACTATGAATGCTGACCATGGGCCCACTAGTCAGGTGCTTGATAAGGTAACTCCAGCAGGTCACAACACATGTGAATCACACTAGAAGGATCACAGCCTGGGAGGAATGTTACAGCAGTAAAAGGGCAAAAAACCAAGAAGGAATTGGTACACTTGGAGTCCACAACTCTCCCTAAAACCCAAACCAGCATACAAATCAGGTTGGGCTGGTGATTTGGGTGCAAAGGGGGAAGTCAGAGTAAGCATGAGAAAGTGGTATTAAATGGACCTAGGATATGGGGCAAAGACAAGTTCAGCAATCAAGAATTATGTTTGAAGACCAACCAGATGAGCAGCTTCCTAATCCTTTTGGCTTTTATAGGATGCTGAGACTAAGGAGGATGGGGAAAATACTAAATCAGTCTCAGGTGTGGTTAACTATGCTATGTGTGAAAAAGATATTGAAACCCTCGTGGACAACAAGTTAAATATGAGCCAATAATGTCATGTGCCAGCAAAAAAAAAGCCAATGGGATTTTATTAAGGGATGCATAAATAGGGTTATAGTGTCTACATACAGGGAAGTCACGCTACCCCTCTATTCTGCCTTGGTCAGGCCACACCTGGGACACTGTGTCCAATTCTGGGCACTGCAGTTGAAGGGAGAGGTTGACAAGAAGGGCAACTACAATTATGAAGGGTCTGGAGAACAAGCCCTATGAGGAACAGTTTAAAGCGCTGGGCATGTTTTGCCTGCAGAAGAGAAGGCTGAGAGGAGACATGATGGCCATATATAAATATGTGAGGGGAAGTCATAGGGAGGAGGGGACAAGCTTGTTGTCTGCTGCCCTGGAGACTAAGATGTGGAATAATGGCTTCAAACTACAGGAAAGGAGATTTCACCGGAACATTAGAAAGAACTTCCTAACTGTGAGAGGTGTTTAGCAGTGGAACTCTCTGCCCCAGTGTGTGGTGGAGGCTCCTTCTTTGGAGGCTTTTAAGCAGAGGCTGGATGGCCATTGTTGGGGGTGCTTTGAACGCAATTTTCCTGCTTCTTGCCAGGGGTTTGGACTGGATGGCCCATGAGGTCTCTTTCAACTCAAGAATTCTATGAAGACTGAAGGGCAAGAAATGAGCAGGAATCTCTAGTGCCATCACCATGTCAAAAAGATAGCACTCAAAGAATGTCTGTATTTTTTCCATTGCCATCTTCCTCCTTGACTCTCTGCTTCTTCTGAAACTAAAGGGCATACCAGCCCTTTATTTATTTTGACATTTGTCTTCTAGAGATAAGAACAGGAACATCTCCACTGAATACACCTCCAGCTAGGCCAGGCCTCTTGTGTGACTTTTGGTGGCTAAAAATTAGCCAATCAAAAACAGTAATGCTAGCCATCCTCAGAAATCTGCAAGTCTATATTAATTTGCACAAATATTAATAAAATCGGCCTATAAAAAACTCTTAAGCCAAATAATTATGTGAAATTTGAAATTCCCCACAAGGGGGCAATAGATGCTAGAAATGTACAACCTTGTAGCAGTGTAACAGTAGGATAGTGTGGTCTAGTGATAAGACCACTGCAATGGAAGTAATTTGAATGGGAATTTCCTATGCGACCATACAAAATGTACTTGTTGGAAAAACAGAGGATTCATCCCTAAGCATAGTCTTAAATTACACAATGTAATCACTTTATTGACGTTAAAACAGATTCTAGTAAATATGGTAGTTTTTTTAACTGCCAGAGTACTGTATGAAGGAATCTAAGGAATGGTAAGGATCCAGCGTTTTATCACTCTATATAATCGAATAGAATACTGAAATTAGGTGCTGCTCATTCACTCTGGAATATTAAATTCCAAGTATATTTAGTTTTTTTATGTACCTTCAAGCTGACTCAAACTTATGGCAAATCTATACTAGGGTTCTATCAGTTTTGGTAAAATTTATTCAGAGGAGGTTTAGTACTGCCTTCCTTTCAGGCTGAGAGAATCTGACTCAAAAGTACTCAATGGACTTCCATGATTGAATGGTGATTTATTCAACATCCAACCCACAACACAATGCTGGTTCGTTGTTTAATACACACTTGGAAAAGCAATCCCATTGTCTTCTACTGAAAGGCTTGTCCCACTGTTGGGAAGAATGGTACAAGTATGCATCGTGGATACACACACACACACTGAATCCCTTGTGAATTTGCCCTTCCCTTGAAGAAAACCTAGAAAAAAATAGTGATGATCTATAGAAGCAATTCCATGTTATGTGAAAATGGGGAGCACTTACGTTTCAGGAAAAACAATGAAGTATTTATCTAGCACTATACTTCTGCAATATACTAAATAGTCCTTAAAACCCAAACTTTAGACTTCAAGTACAATGCCATGTATTAAAAGTCTACTGGAACGTGATCAGAAGAATATTGTTGTCAAAGATGAATTCAAAACTGGCTGATGAGGTTCTGGGTTTAGATGCAGAGACCCAAACTTTTTTGCATGTTTAGAAGGCAATTTGCAGGCTTCTGTTTATGAGTGCAATGCATGGAAACATTTTAAAAGCAGCAACGTGCTTGGCACACTAAGAAAGAGAGTGAAACAAGGCCGCAGTCTCACTTTACAACATCTTATTACTGAGACTAATTTACGAGGCATGAATACGTACAGTGCACTTTCCGTATCTGCTGTACTTCCTTCCATTTTCTGTTACTGTGTAGAGGTAAATGAAGTTGTCATGGGATCCCACAGCAAGTAATGTGCCATCTGTAATGCAAATTGGACACAAGTATTATGTTAGGTGACCCACGGCTGATATCAGCCCTATTTTACCAGATTCTAGCTTTCCACATACAAAGCAATTGAAGGAGGTGGTAATAAAATAAGAACAAAAACAGAGGTCCTTCATTAGAACACATGTGCTGTTCTCATGTTGGGTCTGGGTAGAAAATGGATAAGCTCACAGATATTTTCTTTTTCTCCTCCTGTAATTTCTTACCACCAGGGGAGTTTTTTTTTCATTTGTAAACATTTTATTTAACTAATGAGCTCATTGCTTCAGGTGAAAATAAAATACAATTGCAGTTCTTAATTTTTATATACATTTTACTAATGACACACTCCTTTAATTGTGCTCCATGCAGTAATGCTGGCCACATGACCTAGGAGGTATCTAAGGACAATGCTGGCTCTTTGACTTAGAAATGGAGATGTGCTCCACCCTTCAGGGTCAGACACGACTAGATTTATTGTCAAGGGGAAACCTTTACCTTACACTACTTTAAATATTAGGAAATAATTGAATTGGGATGTTTAGATACATTAAAAACTTCGTAGTCCTTGTGCAAAATTTCTTTTTACTAGAGAAATTAAAGCACATATTTTGAAACAGGTAAGTACTGTAAATTGACTGCAGTTCTGCCTACCTACTGTGTAGCGCATCACCGAAAGCTGCTCGTTACCATCCGTATGGATTGAAACCAAATCTCTTGTTTCAGCATCCAGAACAAACCACCTGTTGAGAAGTCACAGAAGCAACTAACAAATGGAATTACCATGATATGAACAAGTGTTTGTGTAATGCTTAAATGTATCCATGATACATGAAATACACAAAATTGCATTATTTTCAACCCACAGTTTCTGAGGTGCCATATTGAGCTTTGAATTGTCACACAAATAGACTGGTGATTCCAAAACACATTTTTACACATTGAAAGTATGTATAGACATCTGATGACTCTTCAGAGTTTCCAAGCATGAAGACACCGAAATGACCTACTGAAGTTACCAGGTTCTGATGCACAGACATAGCCTTGAACATCAAAATCCCAATGGCATCTAATGGCTCAAGAATATCTTAACTATGAATTCATTACAAAATAGCTTCTGCTCCTTTTATAATCTTACTTCCATCCTTTACCTAACTGCAGTATAAGCATAATAATAGTAATCAATGTTTATTTACATATAAATTTATATACGTGTTAACAAAATAAAATATCAAAGTGGTTGAACAAATAGCACACATCATAAAATATAAAAACACAATACAAAATGTTTAAAAATAATATAATTATTCTTACTGGATGAAGCTGTGCACCATAAATGCAATCCAAATCTTAATCTCAACTGGAGTAGACCCACTAAATTATTGAAAACTTGATACAGCAAAGCTTAATTAAATTCCACTGATTCTATGGGTCTTGCACTGGAGGGATTACCAATTGTAGATGCAACAATTGGTCTCTGTCCGTGGATGCACCTAAACTGTACAATTAATGCAGTTTGAAGCCACTTTAATTGTTATGGTTCAATGCTAAGGTATTATGGGATTTGTGGTTTTATCAAGCCTTTTGCTTTTTCTGTACAAGAGCACAGGTGCCTCACCGAAAACTGCATCTTCCATGATTCCATAGCATTGAGCCATGGCAATCAAAGTAGTGTCAAAGTGTATTAATGTCACAGTGTAAATGCACTCTGAGTAGCCATTTTAATGATAAACAAGCACTATTGGAAATAATTATCAGCATGAAGGACTGCTTCTCCTGTTCACTCACTTAAGCTCTCCAGAAATCCTAGTCCTTAGGAGCAGAAGTATGTAAAGCCAGCACATTTAAGGAGAGATGAAAAGTACTCCTACATTAAACTGAGATCACAGATTGGCCTCACTATGGTATTATTGAGAGTACAAGCAGTCCCTAAGTTGTGAAGAAGATGGGTTCTGGTGATTTGTTCTTAGTTTAATTTGTATGTAAGTCAGAACAGGTACATTTTTAAAGTGTAAATCTATCTATCTATCTATCTATCTATCTATCTATCTATCTATCTATCTATCTATCAATCATCTATCTATCTATCTATCTATCTATCATCTATCTATCTATCTATCATCTATCTATCTATCTATCTATCTATCTATCTATCTATCTATCATCTATCATCTCAAGCTTTGGGCAGCAAAGGGATAAGTTAACACACCTGTGGTGTTTGTTTTGCTGTCTGTGTCCCTGTTCAGAAGATTTTACCTCACTTCCTGTCCCTGTGATTATTAGATTTTGAAAGATTTGGCTCAATGTGGGAACAAGGATTAGTGATAAAGCTTCAGTGGAGACCCCATTTCCCCATGAAAACACTTTCAGGAGTGAATTTCCCTTCTGAGGGCTGGATTTCTTTCTCTTCTTCTTGTCTCACCCCCATTCTTAGCTATGATTAGTTTGTAAGTCATATGTTTGTAACTCAGGGTCTGCCTGTACACCAGATAGACCGACTAAGTCCTTAATTAGATCCAGATAGGTATATTTTCTCCATTACTATGTGTCGAAAAAGAATTAGATCTATATCCCAAGCTGCTGCATATAAGAAGGATGGCACCATAGGATCACTTTGAAGCTGCCATAACTTGGTCCATTGGTTTGAATAGAATGATTTTTTTATAAAATAGAAGACAATCAGCATTGGACGTTGTAACTCAGTGCTTCAAGCTTTGCAAGGGTACTGTGGCCATCTACCTCAGCTACCAAAAAGCAAAATTAAAACTGTGGACAACAACACAAAACTTACCATGACAAGTTAAAATCCCACCATGAGGAAGACTCAAAGTTACACTTGCAAAAAGAAGTCACCTCTCTCTCTTTCTTTCCTTTCTAAAAAGCCAAGTCTTAAAACCAGATATCTGGAAAATGGCCTATGCTAAATGGCTTAAAACCAATTTGTGGTTACAGGACCACATGAAAGACATAAAACATGAAGCAGCTCAACATACCACCACAGCTTGTGAAATTGCTGTGCGTAAGATGGATGGAACCAGTGGAAAAAATGGCTGAAATGTTTTTGTTGGACAGCAGCAGAAACCACTTTCAATAATACCTCTGGGGGAAACACACACATACAAATGTGGGTTTCACCTATGGCAACTTCTGCTCTACAGCTGGATGACTGGTGAGTTTCAGCATGTTCCTTTGGTATTGAATTACACTGAAAATTCGGGATTTTTTTTAATGCCACCCAAATTACTAGACATTTTTAAATTCTATCTGAGTTGACAGATCAAAATAGGAATAGCGTCACATTGCGAACGAAACCTACACATGCAATGCAGGAGCATGTACATTCTTTTACAAACTATTTTACATTTTAAAACAGCCCGTTTACTATTGTTTCTTTCTTTGGAACTATCAAAATCTGAGCTTAATGTGAATAGACTGAAGTAAAGTATATCAGAAAAAGGAAAACTGAAATCCTGTAATTCTAATGATGTGAGCCAAATGCAGTCTTGTCCTTCTAGGCTTCTTTGCCTACCCCTTTCTGGTCTGGAAAAAAAACCCTTCTCCTGAAGCCTTCAAAAGTGCTATTTCACCTTTTAAATAGGTTGCAGACTTCTTCTATGCAATGCTTGATATCAGATTTCTCAAATATAAATCAGGAGTCTCAAATGTTCAGGACTCAATATGCAAAATAATCAGGGATACCAGAATTTGGAGTATCAGTGATTGAGATTGAGGACATCACCATCATCATTCCCCATCCCATTTTGGGAAGCATTCTGGCAGTCTGTGTAGCCCCTGAAGGACAGAAAATTGCTCCCTTACAGTCCCTAGCACAAGCCCAGTCCTGGCATAAACTGGAACAATACACGGAATGGCTTAGATGATGCAAATGGATAAGAAGTCAAACTAGTAGGCATTAATTATTATAGTTATAATCGGTTTTTATATGGATGTTTATTATGTGGTATTCAATGTTTTTAATTGATATGTAGGTATGTATGTATGTTTATGGCATCTAATTGTTGCCAATCTGTATGCTGCCCTGAGTTGCCTTTGGGCTGAAAAGAGTGGGATAAAAAATATGTAAACAAACAAACAAACAAACAAATAAATAAAATACAGAAAGTTGTCCTTCCTTGCTTGAAGATGTGCTCTATTGCGATCCAGAATGGCCATTTGAGCTATTGTTCTTACTAAGCTCATGCTAGGTCTTGCTAATTGTTATTCTTTCATTGAAAGTGACAGTTTGGAGCCTCAAATGGAAAATGTTTGGATTCTTTTTATTTCTCACGAAACTCCACCAGCTATACCACAGGCAGCAGATGTTGGGAGATGGCAGCAAGCAGTTGGAGGAGATGTGAGCATCACACAGAATATCCTAGCCCCTTCTCGCTTCAAGTATAATGGGAAAACTGCCCCATGACTATCATTAAAGGAAGACTTAGCTGTTAGTCTAGTCTAGTCCAGTCAGCTTTTGTACATGGGCAGAAGGGGGCATTGCCTTGTTTACCTTTGGGACAAAATTCTGTAGGTTGGTTCTATTAGGCTAGGTGGCAAATTCACAAGGTGAAAGTAATTGATTAGTATGGATATCATTAATATTGGCTAATAATTGGCCTTCTAGGGATACTGGAAATAGAGTGGCTACTGCCTTCAGTGTCATGCTACTTTATTTCTTAAACCATTTTCATTGTACTTTGTAATGCTGTCACAAACCACTAACTAACTGCAGTTGTGCATAGTTCTAGTAGCAGCTATTCTAGATGCTCCATAGTTACTGCTAGGAAGTTATATAAATCAGAAAGTGACAGATGTTGTTACAACCCTCTAGAACCATCAAGCAGAGACACAATGGTGGTGTTAAAATTGTGTGACCTTGGACAAACCACACTCTCTCACCTTCAGATGGAGTGATGGAAAACTTGGTTGGAATATATCGTGCAAAGAATACTCTAGGATAGGTCACCATAAACTGGTGTTAACTTGAAGGCATATAAGAAATACAAAATAAATTACTTGCTGGAAACTATTTCTATGAATAGTTTGTTTGTTGCCATTAAATTGCGTGCGATAAAATATAACAGATTAACACCTGCCGATTATTGCTTCACTTTATCCAGCCATCAGTCCAACCTGATATTATTTGAAAAGCTGCAGCGATTAGTTGCCTCCATTTAAGACAATCAACACTCAAGAGTCCTATTCTTGGAAAAGACTGGAGCTCTTTCATATGCTTAACACATGCGAATAGAGAGCATGTCTCAGTGAGACAAATTTCCTGGATACTAAAATCCAGCAGTTCCACACGCGCTCCAATGGAGTTTTTATTACTACAGCTGGGTTTCACTTTGGGGAAACAGACATTCCTTGAAGATCTCTCGTTTCCAAGTGAAAAAGTACAAAAGTACGCAGCAAGCAGATGGTAAAGTAGCCCAGTAAAAGTGTAGCAGCCTGTGAAATACTTGGCTTTGGTGCAAACTGAACATTAATACGTTTGATCCATAATAGAGAATGGTCAGAGGGAACAACCCCACTGCACACACACACACACACACACACTCTCCAGCAATAATGAAACAGCAGGACTTTGCAGCTCAAAATTGTACTGCAAACCTTTTGCACTTGATCCTGTAGTGTTGATGACTCAATGGTTAAGCAAATTTAGAAATCTCAGTGCCAAGCAAAAGTGGCAAATGTCTGGAGGGCTGGAGCTAGGTAGCCAACAGCTTATACATTTTTGTGACTGCTATTTGCAAATATCTAGATTAGTTTACACTGTACTGCATCTGCGGTATCTTCCTCTCTGTGCTACTTTTTTCAGTACTCCTAGCATTTGGTTTCTTCACCAGACAAAATAAAGTATTTGTCTTCACAAAATTAAGTACTGAAAAGATCATCTGATCAGATGATACTTTTTTTTTTACTAACTTTAGTCTTCCCACCTTTATAATTGGGCTTTAGCATTCCCTTCCTCAGAAGGTTTCCTCCTTATTGTACATTAGTGCAATAATTTCAATAGAGATAATATCTTACTCCTTTGCTTCACCAGAAAAGAAACATAAAAAGAATGTTCAAAATTACCTTCCTGAGTGTGTGCCGATTGCTACCACTGTTCCACTTGGATGGAAGTCAGCACAATGTCCTGGTTCCTGAAAGACACATTTTGGTCTTATGATTTGAGGGTGAAATCTAGAAATACTCACACAGATATTTACATAGTGTATTTCCCCACCTGGACTAAAAGAAACAAAATGAAGTACATTTAAAAGTTCCTGGTATAAAGCAACATACTCTGTGGTTCCTACTATATTAATCTTCAACACCGTAACAAATTAAGAAACACTCTACCAGAAGAACCACATTCCTGTCAATGAAATCTTTCACCTGGGTGAATAATTGGATTAATGGACCAACTAGTATTTCAGCCATCACAAATGTTTGCAGAACTGTTTTAATTCTCAATTCCAGATGTCACAGAATACTATAGTTGATTGTTTCACACCTGCCATGCTTCCATTCCAAATTTCAAAAGAGCCTACAAGGGCACATATACTGTCTGCTCAAAATCTCACATCACAACAAAATTGGATGCCTGCATTATCCCTTAAGGACTGTATCTATTTTCCCTCATGAGTTTTCAAGGCAGGGCTTGCTTGGTGTTTGCTCTCAAAAAAAATTAACCATATCATTGTAATGTTTTCAAGTTTATTTTATTCAGGTGGACATTATTTCTCTACCTTAACTAGCTATAATCAAACTCAGTGGCCTAAGTCACAAATTATGTGTGAATACAGTGGCTCATCTTCCAAGTGTAGGCATCTTCTATAACCTGAACTATTTTGAGATGTCCAGAACTCAACGTGATTCCTTTTGTATAAAAATTGTGTTCTCTATCACTGAGCTATAGATCCTATTTTAGATAAAAAAAACAGGCATTGTCAAGACTTGGAAGAAATAACTTGAATGCCCCAGCTGATAAAATGGGAAATATAGTCAAAAAACACAACTTGCCCAGACTTTGGTAATTCCTTGTTAAGACTGACAGAAGTGCAACTCAAAAGTTAAAACATGCCCAGAGTGAAGCATGGAAATAAAACCTTTTGAGGAATAGGTGAAGGAACTAAATATAGTTAGCTTGGAGAAAAACAGACTGAGATATTATAGTAATCTTCAGACATTTGAAAAACTACGTGGCAGGGGGCTGGGCTAGATCAGTGGTTCTCAACCTGGGGTCACCAGATGTTTTTGGCCTACAACTCCCAGAAATCCCAGCCAGTTTAACAGCTGTTAGGATTTCTGGGAGTTGAAGGCCAAAAACATCCAGGGACCCCAGGTTGAGAACCGCTGGGCTAGATGGACCAAGTGGTCTCTTCCAACTCTATTATTCTATGATTCTGTAAAAGACAATCTTGCTTTCTCCGGCTCCAGATGATAGGATTGGCTCAATGGATTCAAATTACAAGGATAACAGATTATGGGAAGAACATTGGGAAGAACTTCCTGATGGGAAGAACTGTTTCATCATGGAACAGAATGCCTTAAAATGTGCTGCTCTCTCCTTTGTTGGAAGTTTTAAATAGAAATGCATTGCTTCTACTAGGGTTCTAGTTAGCTGTGATTTTCTCATACTTCAGTTAGACTACATCACTCTGGGCATCTTTTCCAACTGTATCACTCTTCTATTGTTTATTATTTTTCATAAATAGCAAGATAATATAAAAACTCTACTTGATGGTGTCCAGAAGCATCACATAATCAAAAGAATATTACGTACATCTAACAACCTGGTCCACTCAAGTGTATGGTCCACCGAATTCCACATACAGACTTGGCGATCCTGAGCACATGTTAAGAACAGATCTTTGAAGGGATGTGTTCCTAAACCCCAGAGTTCATCTGTGTGGCCCTAAAATCAAAATGAAATTGAATTATTAGACATATGCTAAGGTTATATAATAAACAAAACCAATGCAGTGCAAGGAAGAGAAATGAACGCACCTGTACTTCCACCTGGAAACCATCATTAAATGTTCCTCGCAAAATAAAGTTCCGGGAAGTGCCCAATATGAATTGATCAGCTTTGCCTTCTGCCACAGCTCTGATTGTTCCAAACTGATCCGGAACCTAAGAAATGACATTCTTTTAAACTATATACTGTAGACCTGAGAATGTAACAGCCATCATAATTAGACTAAAATTGGCTCTGCTTATAATCCTACATCCACCAGGAACATAGTTTTCAGTTATGTACAAAAGGATGTCTACTAACATTTACTTGCACATTTTAATTTGACGTTTTTCATATTTGCATTCTTTTCCCTCCTGCCTTTAAAGGACTCAAATAATGTTATGTTATCAAATTGGTGATGTAAAGCTAGGATGACATTTGTTTACATGGTCAAGATCATATGTTCCTTATTATGGCTTTGAACTTGGGTTTAAATCCCCACTAAACCATTTCCAATCTGCATCTCTGTGGACTATCTCACACTGTAGTCAGCTATCTATACCACTCAATCTCAATTCATCTGATATGGTGAACCAACAATATTTTGTCTTCCTGGGATTGGATATGCATTTGGTTTCTTTTGTTCCTAAAAACTCAATAGGCACTGCTAGCTAATGGCTCATGAAGCAGCACCAGTCCAGAGACCATAGTTTTGTATATCACTGGAACTTAAATACAAACTAATTATGGATGAGCAATATGTGACCCTTCCAAGTTTTTGGACTGAATGTCTCATTATCCTTTATTAGTGGCTGTTAAGGCTTGGGCTCCTGGGTACTAAAGTCCAAACATCTGGATGGCCACCCACAAAATGAGGATGGCTACCTACAAACACTCTGTGCAGACTAATCTGTAGGCTGGTTTCTCATGACAAATAAATACCTAAGAGAGGAAAACAAGCATTTTCCAGGGAGGAATACTGATCCACCCACCTCATACTAATCACACAAAGTATTATTTACTTATCAAAATGATCAATGATTTGTGAATACCTTTGTTTTTGGGCACCTGATGTTACACTTATTTTGTTACAGTTCCACTGCTTTCCCAAGCCAAATCTTTACTTTGGGAAAAAGATGTACCAACAGGAGAACACTTTAATAGAGGTATTTCTTCCTGAGCAGCAACTGACACAGAGAACTCCTTTTCCCTTTAAAGATTATGAGGCTTTCCTGCAATAATCAATGTAGCAAATGACATTTCACCATACTAAGGGAGCCTCATGCTACTTCTTCCTCCTTCTCACAATATTCCTGCAGGAGACTAATGGTGAACAACAACCATTGTAATGTTTTCAGTGTTACATTGGGATCTGGGATACTCAGGCATGAATGTAACTGGGTGACTCTGACGTTACCTCTTAATTTAATATCTCAGAGATAATAGTTTTCCATGGAATTGCCAGGCAATCAGTTCTAGCATTCAAAGACATAGTGGAACCTAGTAGCAGCTTTGAGAGAATTGGAAAGAAGAAATATCTATCAACTAGTAATGTTTCCTCCCCAGTTAACGTCAGAAGTGAATACTAGACCTGTTTACCACCTCACGTGTTTTCACTAACAGACATTTGGAGAACATGGTGCTGGAAACACTGTGGGTGCACTTTTTGACTGATTACATTGACATTATTCCTCTGTATATTATATTATAAATGATAGAAGTGAAGGAAAGCTGCATTTTTACCATCTATCATCACATGTGATTTTTAAATATTACCTGACATTAAATACATGAACACATACGAACAGCAACAGGGGTATATCTAAGTTGGCAATGGAAAAAAAAAAACGTCCAAGGACTATGCTTTGCATATAAGAATGTCAAAAACTATTTCTCAACCTACATTGGCAGGAAACGATGTAGTGTCTCCTAATTGATTTTGTATATTTCTTACACTGAAAAGTTTTTAACTGGCTGCTGCTTTCATGCCAAGTAACATTGTGAGAGAAGAAACAAAACAAACAAAAAACAGATTATGAATGTTTATCTTTTTGAAATGTATTTTTTGTACGAGTCTCCTGAACAGCTGCCAGATAGGTTACTATTTTATTTTAAATACTATATTTTATTCAAAGAGACTGGAGGGTTTGTTCAGCATGAAATAATGAGTACATACAGAGAATGTGGCATGTTAACAAAGAGAACAGGAAGATAAAAATCTGCACCACTCAGATTACTATTTACCAAGCACAATGGTGAATTATATCCAGTTGGAATCCATTACTTCATTTTAGTAATTGTTTTTAAAGAATTATCTTGAAGCTATTTCCCCTACATAATAGCTATATTAAAGTTCCCCAAAGGCTGTAAATCTATCTCTGCAATAAGATAACTCAGTTTATCTGATAAGAACAAGTAGAGTGTTCTTTGTGTTTCTAACAATTGACTTGTTGAGGTCAAGGGGGAGTAATAGATTGGAATTCAGGCAATCTGGATTCAAATTCTTGTTCAATTATGAATGTTAAGGCAAACTATTTTGTTTCATCACAACAAGCTAGGATGTGCTTTGTTGAAATCCAGCTTTTTGTGAAGTCCTTGATGTGATGTGCAAACCTGTGCTAACAAGTGATTTCGTATGAACCAAGTACACAATTAGTCCTGACTAGAGTAGAGGAAACGACTTAACTCCATCCATCTACATTTTGACTCACCATTCTACATTTTGTTGAACAAAAACATCTATTTTAGTTAGAACTAACACAACATTCAGCACTTAATTTGTTGTTGGCTTGCAAACTCTGTCTCACTTAAACTACAGCTTATTGTGATGGCTGAGTGGCTATGGCTTGTCCCTCATTTGTTTGTTCAACTATCTATCCTGAAAAGAAGCTGACAAAAGGACTGGATAGAAGCAAAACAAAGACAGAATAGAGAGACAATGGTCCGTTCCACTCTTTGGAGTGTAATTCACAGCTTAAATAACAAACCATATTTAGCACAACTTATGGCTCATGACAATGCTTCTAAAATTTGATCTCGAGATATTACTTGATGTCAACTCCCCAAAACGCTCACAAGCCTGGCCAATGATTAGGGATTTTGGCAGTTGTAGGCTAACAATATCAAGAAACCCAAGACAAAAGCTATGGACTTGTGTCATGTGGACACATCCAGTGTATCAGTCAAGTGGATTATAATAAAATGGGGGGTGATACTGGCCTTGTTTAGCGGACAAAGCAAAACTTAAAATATATGTGCATCTCGGTATGGATTCCTAAAATATCTATTGTGTTACAGACATTTCTAAAGTTGAAAATGTAACATCAGATGTGTGAAATTGGAGTTAGCTGGGAAAAAACAGATGGATAAAATAAAACAAGGTAGTGAATAGAAATGCTCAGTTTACATATAGAGACTTAAGCTCAAACCACTGAACAATTATGAAACTCAGTTTGTGAATGTGGACACAAATCTCAACCTAATCCATTTTATATGGTTATTGTGGAAGAGAAAACCTGGAATAGATTTGTACAGTGTTCCGAGCTCCATAATGACTAGATAAAATGTGGTAACTAATACAAAAACCCAAGGTAGGGAAGGTGATGGAAGAAATGCAGGGAATAGTACAGCCTCACCTCCACCAAATTCACAATAACAGTTTTTTTCTGCATACTCTCACTGACAGTAATTATCTTGCCTACCTCTATTTCCCTTTCAGGAGTCAAGTCATGATCCCATAAAATGATTTTCCTGTCCTTCCCACCTCCAGTTAGCAGCATCCCATTCCTCATTTGACAGAGTGTGAACACACTGCCATCGTGAGCTTTGATTTGCTTGCTTATCTGATACACACCTGTAGACAGAAAGAGTAAACAAACATTACAACCTATACAGGACCTTAGAGAGTAAACAAGATGAAACAATAGTATATTCATTAGATTATGGATGTGGGGTTCCCATTATGGTACATTTCTATATATGTTTAGAAAGGTGAACACTGACAACATTTTCTTAGTTTTTGTCACACAGGAACTTAAAAATGCATGTTAATAATTTCCCCACTTCATATTAATGTGCCCTGCTGTTTAATTTTTATATATAAATCTTGGATATAGCCTTCCTGGGGCTGCAAGGATGAAACCTATTTGTGTTATGGAATCTCTTGAATCTGGTTTCAAAATGAGGAAATCTCAAAGACACAGAGGGCTAGCTTAAGCAACTACAAATGATTGTAAGAAACTGAGATATGCATGAACCCCTTCTTCTTGTATATATTCATGCTATAAGTTCCCCATCTATTAATTTACTTCACTATCCCCCAAAGATATCAACTAACTAGTATTTCATCTTATATCTAAGAGGGCAAACTATAGGTACATGGATCAGAACATGCCTGAATCTTAAACCTTATTTGGCTTATTCCAAAGCTTAAAAACCAATGTCTGGTGACCTCTTAGTGACACAGGGCAGTGCAAGTCAAACCTAGATTTGTGTCTGTCTAAATTTGCAGAGACTGGCGTTCTCCTCCTCCTTGTTCAACAATTTAAACTTCTCCTCCCTAGGACTCAGTTCTAGTGTGATAGTCCCATTTCCTACCATTATTCAATGTGGGTACTAGAGATCTGGACGGGCTATGGGGTAGCTATGAAACTTCTATAAGATTTTGGTTGTACTTGGTTGTGGATGCTGGTGGATTTCCCCCCAGGTTGTGTGGATTGTGGTGTCCTGATCTGTCTCGTGAACTCCTGAAACCTTATACCTCGAAGAACCTTAAACTCTGATGAGAATCCTGTTTACTGTTGCATCTTATGCGGAACCTTGATGTACCTTGTATGCCTGGATTGACTCTTGACTATGTATTTTGGATCACCCTTGAACTCTGGACTCTCTGGCTTGATCTTTGGAATGAGGACTATGCTCTGGTCTCTTGGACAATAATCAGTGAACTCTCAATATTTGACTCCCAGATATAGAATCATAGAATCCTAGAGTTGGAAGAGGGTCATCTAGTCTACCCCCTGCCAAGAAGCATGAATATTGCATTCAAAGCACCCCTAACAAATGGCCATCCAGCCTCTGTTCAAAAGCTTCCAAAGGAGTACTCTTTCTCCTGAACCGATGTTTGTAGTACTCTCCTTGTTATAAGTCTTTGCTTTGTATCTGTGGCTCTGTGCTATCTTTGTTTTGAACTTGGACCTTGGAAACAGCCAAATGAGTAAGTGCTGCTTTAAGTAAAATAGTTTTTGGAGACAAGCTGTTTTTGGTTCACCTCTGCTTTCATACCAGCAGAGCCCTGGATCCTGACACTGGCAATGAGGATGAACCACGTGTTTTGCTTACCCCCTCCTGGTCTCCATAACAACTGAATGGTCATGAGGAAGGGGCTACAGCAGTTTAAAAGAGTTGGTTGGGGTGTTGAGGGTAGTCATTTAGCTCCATTCCACCTGTAGAACAGCTGTGGGCATATGTGTTGCAATACAGTATCTCAGTTATATTTTCACGGGTTGTGGAAACATCTGAGTTTCATTGTGATATGCTGAGAAGGGAGGAAGAATGTGTGTTTAAGAGCACAAATCTCTTACTAGATTGGCTTATTAAACCAAGATATGATAATCTAACCTGGGCCACAGAGTCACAGAGCTGAAGAGGGACTTTTTATTATGCTCAAAGTAGGAAATCCAGAGCTAGAACAGACAGTAATCCAGCTTTTGCTTGAAGAAAGGTAGAGACTATAATCTTTCTACATCATTGGATCCATTGCTGAACTCCTTTTACTGTTAAAAAGCTTCTTCCAGTTTTCCATTAAAATTTGCTCTCCTTTGATGCTTATGTCTAACTTTGCCTTCTGAAGGAGTTCTGAGCAGGTTTAACATCTAGTTTTGATGCTGTAGAGAACAAGAACCCCTCTGTACACTTCATACGTGTCAAACACATCCAGGGGCTTAGCTCTGGCTGATCAAATGAAACTCCAGCTATATTAGTCAACTTCTATTAACTATGACAATCAAAGAAACTCCTTTTCCACTTGCTAGAGAGAGAAGAGCGAAGTAAGTGCTTCTGGAGGTTTCATATAACCACAAAAGCTATACACATCTACAGTCAAATCTTTAAAAAATAAGGTTACTGCTTAAATCTTTTTAACGTAAATCTAGGCTCCAGGAAAAGTTAGAAAAATAAAGGTTTTCTAATTCTCTACAGAACCCTTGCAAAGTGAACCGAGAAATAGAGGTAAGCACTAATCTTTTCAAACTTTTGATTCCTTAAAGTTATGCCTTTGAGGATGGAAAAATGCTTAGAGGCAAATGCAATTACAAACTGGAGCTCGCATATTGCAGCTGCAGAAGCAATTTCTGTAGAAGTCTTAAAGAGATCCAAAAAGACAACTCAAGGCCACAAAACTCAGGGGCAGTCTTTGGTCCGTCAAGAAGGACAGTTACTTGCTTGCCTTTTACTTGTGATTCTGGTGAAGTCAGAGTCCCCTGCTCATATATAACTGAGCAAATGATAAGACATAAGATCTGAGCCTTCTTTAGCGGTTTTTGTTGGCTGAAGGAGACAATTCAGGAGCAATTAACTATCATGCAGCAGCATGTTGCCTGTGCATGAAAAGGAGAACTTTGGCTTATTAATAGATCTGAACAGCCCAGTTTCACATTTTCATTTCGTTCCATTAGTATTTAGAAGGAATCTTACATTACCTGAAGCTTTAGTATTTAGAATTTGTGTATATATAAACATATGAATTTACCACCATTATAAACTGACTGAAACCCTTGTCTTAAGATGACTCTGAAAAGTCACTCACATACATAAAAGGGTGAAAGTGTAATGGTTTCAATTTAATATATGTGCATGTGTGTTTGTGTGCAATCATTCCTTATGGAATGAAGAGCTTCTATTACACTAGCACTTTAAGTAAAAATTGGATTACCACTTTTAAGGGCTTTGTGCATAACAACGTGTCTGCAGATTGGAATTAGAAAACCATGCAGGCTAACATTGATTCAACTGGCTGCTACTGCAAGATCAAATATTTTAAAAGGTAGATGTCATAAGGTGAAAATGGCCATCTGTTCTAGGATGCAAAAATATGGAGCAAATCTGCGCCCAGCTTCAAAGTATCCCATAAAACCCAAGGAAAGTACGAAATGCCAGCATTACTTAACAAGCCATCCCTAGAGAGTAATTTACTTTATTTCTTGATCAGGCATACAGACACACGCTGACCCAAACCATAATTAAACCCTTGATAAATTCAAAGACACATATCAACCATAAAAAGCCCAGCTCAACAAAACCCTGGATCCATTTAAATAATTAAAACATTCAATCTTTCATTATGAAATATTTGCCATGACAACTACAGCAAAGAGCAATTTGCTTGAGGCAGGTTCTTATAATATTATTAAATGTATGATCCATATTATAATTGGAGAGTTATTTTATTCTTTTTTTCAAGAAATAAATTTTGTTGAAAACACATATTTGCCATTAAAATGTCCTGTTCAGAGATTGTGTTTTTGCTGGCATGCTCATTTGAGCCCCAGCATTTTTAATTGTGCCAAAGAAAATAATTATCCTTGGATTTAAGAGCTACCTTAGGGCTCTGCAGTGCCAGACCTGCACATGCCTGATTGCAAATAATAATTCATCTTGAAATTCTTAAACTGAAATGAAATGTTCACCTATAAAGTGTCGCTAACTCTACAGCCAAAAAATAAAAATTAAAGCAAGCTCTAATGCTCCTAGCTGGTACTTGTTCAGATTAGAAAGTACTAAAATTTTGCATGGCCCTTTTTATGTTTCCGTCATGTGCACATCAATAATATACTATATGACATTATATCAAGACAACTTCACAAGTGCTGTGATCTATAACATCCAAGATATAAATTTTGCTTCGGACATGCATATTTTTCTCTGTGACTTATCCAGAGCACTGACCTGGTACAGAAATGAGTAAAACAATCTTCCTAAAGACAACCAAGTATACACCTTAAGAGCACCTTAAAAAAAGAAGCAACTGAAACCAATATGTAGGTACAAGGATCACAATTAAGACCAAGAAGCCAGCTTAGTACTTCCCACACTAGGCAAGCGATATGTTTCTGGAGAGACTTTCCATAGACATTTCGATGATCTTGTGCCTATGTATTTAATTCTCATAAATCAGGAGAAGAAAACCTTCTATGGTGTGAGGTGTGGAAAGGTTTTCTGATTCGCACGAGGACTACAATGCACTGAGTGCTAACAGGAGGGTTAATGATACAGTCATTAACACATACATGCCTTTTATTTACTGAATAACCCGAGAAGTGAAGTGTGGTCTTGAATTGGGACTAACCTACTGCCAGTCAAAATGTATCACTCTTGCTTGTTAACATTATGGTTCAATGAAAAAATCTGTGGGACCTTTTTCTGTCCCTATACATGACAGGGACACAAAACGAACCACTATGTTGTAGTTGCCTGAGCATCAGATGATGACTCTGGAGACTCGGGATAAGGGTTTAAATCCTTAGTCTCCAGAACTGAGAACCCACTGGGTGACTTTGTCAAGTCACACTATCTCTGCCTCAGAAGACCAAGGCAAACTCCCTCCGAATAAATCTTGCCAAGAAAACTCCATGATAGATCGACCTTTGGGTCACCATAAATTAAAAACGACTTGAAGACACATTAACAACAAATATACATATCACATGTGTTATTGAAATCACAGGTCTCAGACTCTTTCAGGCACCTATTTTGTGCTTTGCTGGCTTGTGTGTGTGTGTGTGTGGGGGGGGGGGGGGGGGGGGGGGGGGTAGGAGGCAGAACTATAGCAGCTAGCAACTTCTCATTGAAGCATACTAGCTTCTTCCAAAAATTCTGTATGGACAATGATAACTCCTGGCCAGCCAGCTGAGCTGGGGTCTAACTGAGCTTTTGCTTGTCTGTCCTCACTGATAATGGTACTTGGGTCAACTTCTTATTGTCATATTTTGGGTGGTTTCAGCAAATGACCCAGTGGTGAGTTTTTTTTGTTTTTTTTGTTTTTGTTTTTGCTGGGTTGAGGGGATAGTGCTAGAACCTAAGTGATGATAACCCTCAATTTCCTTAAGGGAGCATGAAATGAAAGTTATGGAATATCGGTTTTTGTCATCACATGGTCTCCTCAGACTCAAATACCTGGGCTGAGATGTCACTGGACAGAAGGTGGGTTGTTAAGTGCCTGGATCCTCCACCCCATGTTAAGCCCATCTTTTGACTGTATTTAATAACGTTGCAGATTTTTTATACTCCAGCAAAGTCTCTGCGTCTTGTTCTTTCATTGTCTCCCTTGCCACTCATCAGTTACTTTTAGAGCCACCAAAATAGCAAACATCTACAGATTTTTTAGAGCTAATACTATTGGGATAATGTCTGTTCCAGCCATTTTTTTTATTAATTTTTATTGCGAAAATTTTTCATATACAGACTGAAAGAAAAAGTGAGGTATGGGGGAGGTGAGAGGGGATTGAGAGGTGAGTGAAGGGAAAGAGGGGGGGTGGGGAAGGGAGGGAGGGGGAAAGAAAGTCCCGTCCCGTGTTCCAGCCATTTTTCATCTGTTATGAGAGAGAGAGAGAGAGAGAGAGAGAGAGGGAGAGATAAGACAAGCAGATGGAACTTGGGGGGCACTGTTAACAAGGCTTCAAGTGACGAAGTTGTAAAATGCCTATATCACAGGTCAGGTTGCAACAAAATATGGAATAGGTAAGATTTCTTTTTCCACCTTCTGTCCAGTGACATCTCAGCCCAGGTATTTGAGTCTGAGGAGACCATGTGATGACAAAAACCGATATTCCATAACTTTCATTTCATGCTCCCTTAAGGAAATTGAGGGTTATCATCACTTAGGTTCTAGCACTATCCCCTCAACCCAGCAAAAACAAAAACAAAAAAAAAACAAAAAAAAAACTCAAAAAAAAAATATGGAATAGGTAAGATTTCTTTCTCCAGCAAAGGATCACCGCCTTGTCGGGGCGCTGGAGCTTGAGCACCTCAATGATGTCATGAGCGAAACCGTGAAGGGACACCCAAGACGGGACGGTTGTGGCAGAGAGGTCAGACCAAGCGTGATCCCTGGGGAAGGCAATGGCAAACCACTCCAGTATCCTTGCCAAGAAAACTAAATGGACCAGTACAACCAGAGATATGTCGGTATGCCATTGGAAGATGGGACTCCCAGGTCGGAAGATGGCCAAAATGCTACTGGGGAGGAGCAGAGGATAAGTTCAACTAGCCCCAGATGTGATGACGCAGCTAGCTCAAAGCCGAAAGGAAGGCTAGCGGCCGACGGTACTGGAGGTGAACGACGAATCCGATGCTCTAAAGATCACACACCATAGGAACCTGGAATGTAAGATCTATGAGCCAGGGCAAATTGGATGTTGTTATTGGCGAGATGTCAAGACTAAAGATAGACATTCTGGGGGTCAGCGAACTGAAGTGGACTGGAATGGGCCACTTCACATCAGATGACCACCAGATCTACTACTGCGGACAAGAGGAACATCGAAGAAAGGGAGTAGCCTTCATAATTAATAAGAAATTCGCTAAAGCGGTGCTTGGATACAACCCAAAAAATGACAGAATGATCTCAATTCGAGTGCAAGGAAAGCCTTTCAACATTACAGTGATCCAAATATACGCCCCAACCACAGCTGCTGAAGAAGCAGAAGTAGATCAGTTCTATGAGGATCTGCAGGACCTACTGGATAATACACCAAACAGAGACATTATTTTCATTACAGGAGACTGGAATGCCAAGGTGGGAAGTCAAATGACAACTGGGATCACAGGCAAGCATGGTCTGGGAGAACAAAATGAAGCGGGACGCAGGCTGATAGAATTTTGCCAGGAAAACTCGCTGTGTATAACTAATACTCTCTTCCAACAACCTAAAAGACGGCTTTACACATGGACCTCACCAGATGGTCAGCACTGAAATCAGATTGACTACATCCTTTGCAGCCAAAGGTGGCGGACATCCATCCAGTCGGTGAAAACAAGACCTGGGGCTGACTGTAGCTCAGATCACGAACTTCTATTGCCCAATTTAGAATAAAACTAAAGAGATCAGGGAAAATACACAGACCAGTTAGATATGATCTCACTAACATTCCTAGCGAATATACAGTGGAAGTGAAGAACAGATTTGAAGGACTAGATTTAGTAAACAGAGCCCCAGAAGAACTATGGACAGAAGCCCGAGACATTGTTCAGGAGGCGGCAACAAAGTACGTCCCAAAGAAAAAGAAAACCAAGAAGGCAAAATGGTTGTCTGCTGAGACACTGGAAGTAGCCCAAGAAAGGAGGAAAGCAAAAGGAAACAGTGAGAAGGGGAGATATGCCCAGTTAAATGCGCAATTCCAGAGGTTAGCCAGAAGAGATAAGGAACTATTTTTAAATAAGCAATGCATGGAAGTGGAAGAAGACAACAGAATAGGAAGGACAAGAGACCTCTTCCAGAAAATTATAAACATTGGAGGTAAATTTCAGGCAAAAATTGGTATGATAAGAAACAAAGATGGCAGGGACCTAACAGAAGCTGAAGAGATCAAGAGAAGGTGGCGAGACTATACAGAAGATCTGTATAGGAAGGATAATAATATTGAGGATAGTTTTGACGGTGTGGTGAATGAATTAGAACCAGACATCCTGAGGAGTGAGGTTGAATGGGCCTTAAGAAGCATTGCTAACAACAAGGCAGCAGGAGATGACGGGATCCCAGCCGAACTGTTTAAAATCTTAAAAGATGATGCTGTCAAGGTGATGCATGCCATTTGCCAGCAAATATGGAAAACACAAGAATGGCCATCAGACTGGAAAAAATCAACTTATATCCCCATACCAAAAAAGGGAAATCCGAAAGACTGCTCAAACTTCCGTACAGTGGCCCTTATTTCTCATGCCAGTAAGGTAATGCTCAAGATCCTGCAAAGAAGACTCCAGCAATACATGGAGCGAGAGTTGCCAGATGTTCAGGCTGGGTTTAGAAAAGGTAGAGGAACGAGAGACCAAATTGCCAATATCCGCTGGATAATGGAGAAAGGCAGGGAGTTTCAGAAAACATCTACTTCTGCTTCATTGACTATTCTAAAGCCTTTGACTGTGTGGATCATAATAAATTGTGGCAAGTTCTTAGTGGGATGGGCATCCCAAGCCACCTTGTCTCTCTCCTGAGGAATCTGTACAAGGACCAAGTAGCAACAGTAAGAACTGACCATGGAACAACAGAGTGGTTCAAGATTGGGAAAGGCGTACGGCAAGGCTGCATCCTCTCACCCAACCTTTTTAACTTGTATGCAGAACACATCATGCGATGTGCGGGGCTGGATGAATGCAAAGCTGGTGAAAATTGCTGGAAGAAACATTAACAACCTCAGATATGCAGATGACACCACTCTGATGGCCGAAAGCGAGGAGGAGCTGAGGAGCCTTCTAATCAAGGTGAAAGAAGAAAGCGCAAAGACTGGGTTGCAGCTAAACGTCAAAAAAACCAAGATTATGGCAACAAGAATGATTGACAACTGGAAAATAGAGGGAGAAACGTGGAGGCCGTGACAGACTTTGTATTTCTAGGTGCAAAGATTACTGCAGATGCAGACTGTAGCCAGGAAATCAGAAGACGCTTACTTCTTGGGAGGAGAGCAATGTCCAGTCTCGATAAAATAGTAAAGAGTAGAGACATCAGACTGGCGACAAAGATCCGCCTAGTCAAAGCCATGGTATTCCCTGTAGTCACCTACGGATGTGAGAGCTGGACCTTAGGGAAGGCTGAGCGAAGGAAGATCGATGCTTTTGAACTGTGGTGTTGGAGGAAAGTTCTGAGAGTGCCTTGGACTGCGAGAAGATCCTACCAGTCCATCCTCCAGGAAATAAAGCCCGACTGCTCATTGGAGGGAAGGATACTAGAGACAAAGTTGAAGTACTTTGGCCACATCATGAGGAGACAGCAAAGCCTAGAGAAGACAATTATGCTGGGGAAAGTGGAAGGCAAAAGGAAGAGGGGCCGACCAAGGGCGAGATGGATGGATGGCATCCTTGAAGTGACTGGACTGACCTTGAGGGAGCTGGGGGTGGTAACGGCCGACAGGGAGCTCTGGCGTGGGCTGGTCCATGAGGTCACGAAGAGTCGGAGACGACTGAACGAATGAACAACAACAAGATTTCTTTTCTCCCACATTTTCCCAGGAGTTGGTCATCAGTGGCATGCAGCCTCTAAACCTGAAGAGAGCATACCGACTTCATGACAAATATACCCATTGAGAGACCTATTATCCATGGATTTCTCTAATCCTCTTTTAAACCTGTCCAGATAAACATTTTTTTAAATGGATCTGATAACTTCCTCAGTATACTCAAATGGATATCAAGTTGGCACCTTTCTGGAACACAGCACCAGCAGGGTGAATGAAAACTGTATCGTTTACTCTTTGGAGTGTCTTGTATTTGATGAACTTCCAAACATATTTCCACAATACAGACATAGTCAATTAAATAGCTGCAGTACCTTTTGATCCTTTTCCTGCTGTGCCTTCTACAGTAGTTTTACTCCATATAAGCAGTATCCCACCTGAGTCACCAGTGAGAACTTCTCCATTTCCTAAAAATGCTAAGCACTGAACAAATTTGGGTTTTTCATATTTCTGAAAAGAAGAACACAGCACAGTAAAGAAACATTGGCTCATTCACAGGCAAAACTCAGAAATGCAAAATTATGCAGAAAAGCCACTATTCAAAAGAACCAATTTCAAAGGATTTTCTGTTTATCTATGTATTAGTTCAAAGACGCAACAGCCTCTAACCCTGTTCCAGAGCAGATGATTGAAAATGTAGATGCTGATGTCACTTCTAATGTCAAAGCACAACAATAAAATGAATTTTGTATAGGTGACAGGAAGAAACACCCATCTATTTGAAACTAGACATACCGTAAAATATTTTGCTCTATAAAATATGCATTGAGTCCTTGTATGGAATAAAGCCCTGGTATTTGGGGGTGGGGTTTGGGTAAAGCTCAGCATTTTTAAGAAACTATGTTTGAATGAAGAAATAACAGAAGGCAAGAGGTGTACAGGCAGTAATGGTCAGAATATGCTAAACTGGGACTTTGGATATTCAATCACCAAACTCACTGGGTAAATATGGATTATCCATTACATTATAACTACAAAATAATGAGGCTGAACTTAACTTTCTCAGTAGTGTAACAACATATTTTGCCACAAACCTGTGGGTTCAGTAAACGTGAGGGAGAGGAATATGACATGGTTCACATATTGGCTTGTATAAAGCTTTCTTCTCTGTTGTAGGTGGTGATATGGCACTTAAATGTATTTTACGTAATAGGCCAACAGCTTGTAGGTTTTTGAAAGTAATTATTTTAGTTACTTCTGAAAAAGGGAAGAATTTTTGAAATGCCAACCAAATACTGGGGAGGAAGCAGATTTGGAATGCTAACTAATTACCATCACCCCCAGGTTCTCCATTCAAAATAGCTTTCCACTGATCGTGCTCTATTATGTACCTTTGTCTTTCAGGTGTTATGTAACCACATGCATTGCATACAATGTATACTAAAATCCTGGATTTTATGTGCTGAAAATAAAACCAAAGAGTTATTTAATCTCTTTTTTTCTTTTGAGCTTGAAGGACTTATTCATGGAGAAGATGACATTCCCATTCAACAGATAATGTGACCAAGGGCTTAAAAGAATTTATCAAATTCAAAAAGCTTCTTACCCCAAATATTCCTTGTTTTCGTGTTAATGCATTGCCGTTCCAAGTCCAGAAAAAGATATGAGATTTTCCAGAGGTTATTATTGTGTCTTTATCAGTCGGATGGAATGCTACTGCAAGAACGACTTCATTTGTAGTCTGTTGAAACAGAAGAGGGTGTTGCCACTATTAACCTTCCTATTTATCTGGGTACATGGAGAATTCACGATTAGCCACACAAATAAAAAAAATACACACAAAAATGCCACAGAGAGGAGTGCCTCTCTTCCCAACAGTTCATTCTGGTCACGAAATGACCTGCAAGCAATTTTATTCTGACATATGATGGCCTGTGACTGCTTCTTAAGTCACTGAGATTGTGAAAACAGCTTCCCCCCACCACAAAGGTTTACCAGAGGTAATAGTATAGAGATGTCTTGGGAAATTGAATGACAGGGGCAGTCCCTGTCATACAGAAGAGGGTCAGCTTGGATCTCAAGGGAAGTTACTCTGAAATGTTATTGCCTGTCATCTACTGTCCTTTGTCTCAGTTTTCCACATGGCCAAGAAGAGTCTGACCTCTGCCTGCACTGAGATCCCTTCAGATTTGGGGTGTCAATCACATTTTCACAGACACTCGTATCAGATTTATGGTTGTGCTCAAAGGGCCAAAGAGATGAAATAAAATAGAATGGACAGGGACATGGTTGGCTGACTGAAATCCTGAGTCCTCCACACTGCAGTATTGTGTTGTAATTGTAAGACTATATAAATGGAACTACAGGCCACCCCCGAGTTACAAACATCTGACTTACAAATGATTCATAGTTACGAATGGGGATGTAACAACAGGAACTGAGAGAAATTTACCCCTCGAAAGAGTTATCATGGGGAAAAGGTGTCTCCACTGAAGCTTTTCCACCAATCCTTATTTCCATAACGAGACAATTTTTATCAATAATTCCTAAAGACTTTAAACAAATATTATACTGCTTTATCATTGTTTTATTAACACAGCAATTTGTTCTCCTATATTTTGAAATGTACTCATCATTTGTAAATTGTTGTGTGTATTTGAGAAAAAAATGTGCATAAAATTAATCTGAAACAGTTGGTAATTAACATAGTGAAGATCTTGACAGGGTCGTCTTCTATGACCTAAATAAATGTAACATAGTTTATATTTGGGCATTTCAAGTATGACTGAATCAAGGAGATACCCAAAACCTGAATTTTATTTAGAGGAAAACATGGGGTAATTACATTTAGGTGCATCCTGAACTACATCCTCATGTAATTTCCTTTCTCAGTGCATAGATTTTTTTTTGTTTAAAGGGGTTCTTCTTTCATCTTTGCCCATATTATTCATAAAGAACATTTTAATAAAGTTTTATTAAGCACAACCTATTCTTTCCCGTGCTTTCATAATGCAATAAAAGTAAAAGCAATTCAAGACCGAAACAGAAGGCCATTATTCTTTTACATTCACAATTTTTAGACAGAGATGGAGAGCTCTATAAGTTCTGGATAATAGGGATATGCAAGCCAATCAAAATAACTCTTGGCTGAAATTCACTCAGCTCCTCCATTTCTACAAAACCTCTTTGACTTTCTTTTCTGTCTACTTATTAAAGGGGAACATAGGGAATGTAGTATTTAATCTGGGCTATCTGTCCTATAGGGAAATCAACAAATGGTATTTTACGCAAGACAAACAATTGTTATTACGTAACTATTTGGAGATTACGTTCCATGTCACCCACCACATGAAATGTGATCCTCAGTTGTCAAATACAAATGTATGCACTTACGCACAGTAAATGAAGGGAAACAGAATGAGAAAATGCAGAACATGAAAAATAGCTTCACTATTGATGACAAAACATCCCAATATTTCAACTATTCAAGACATTTACTGGAATTAAAAAAAGTCACCAAATTAAGCTGTCTCAAGTCCTGCTGGGGAGAGAGGGCAGGATACAAACAGTTTTTTCATCATCATCATCATCACCATCATCATTTTAGGCTACAACACACAGTCCATAATTTTGCATTTCACTTTTGTTTCACCTGAGTAATTACAATGTAACACATAGAAGGATAGCGAGACAAGAAAGGAGATATAGTTTGTTTCCGACAATTTAGGAATCATATTAGAAACATAGAATCATTGAGTTTGAAGAGACCTTGTGGGCCATCTAGTCCAACCCTCTAGTAAGAAGCAGGAAAATTACATATTGTTTCTTTTATGAAGTGGAAAAAACATGAATAAATGTGTGCTTTATGGTACAATGCAGGGTTTAGGGGTTTTTCAATACCAAAAAGGAAAAGAACACTAATATCTAAGAAGAATGATTGAACTTATTACTACAGTTCATGTCAAAGGCATATCACAGTTTTACTTCATACATATGTGCAAGATGCAAGATCCATATGGATTTAGTTTACCTTTATCTCTGCTACTTTAGATTTCTTCTGCCAGTCCCAGACGGTCAGCATATGCTCATTAGAGTCATCAATCACACACAAATGTGTACCTGAATCCTGAGAGAGGAAAATAACAAAAATGTTTATAACATCATTTATGTTGCTACAAATAAATGTGATTATGTCACAAAGGGTCACACATGTATTCCCCTTTCCCATGGTCAATGTTCTAATGACAATAACATTGTGGACTGGAATACTTCTGGTTGCATCCACCTGTGTAAGTTCCCCTATAGAAACAGTTGAACATTTTTGTCTGATGCAGTTCAAGTTTGCAGAAGTGAAGTTATGCATGCAGTACTATTCTACAAGGCTGTACACTCAGCAAAGAGGTGCATGCTCATCATACACAATTGCACATGGTTGAATAGTGCATCTGCAATTATGCAGTGTTGTAATTCACTAATGAAGAGGAATGTTGCACAACTTTTGAGAAATTCTGTAAGTGTAAAGTTATGGTTCAGCTTCTTGACTGTAAGATCTCAGCCCTGATGTTTTTACATGCACCATTTTGTTTAACAGCTAGTTCACAAACCAGGCTCCAATCGAGTTCTTGGGCCTTGTGCTCTCTCTCACCATATTGAGTCAACTGAAATGAGTCTTTGAACGTGGAAATAAATTCTGTGAGCAGCATTCCAAACATCCCAAAAATGATCCTAAAACTAGACTTTAAACTTCTACATGTTTAATGTTAGCGCACAATTTTGGTTTGGCCATGAATCCTTGGGATGTCAACGATGCCTGCCTAGGTAAAGATATGCAATTTCAGCAAAACCCTCCTTCAGCATACCAAATGCCATATCGATTTGTTTCTTTGTTAATATTCATTATCATATTCAAAACTGGGTGTGATGTATACTTGAGCACAAATTGTCACCAGTGAGTATGAATGTTTCTCAAAATAACACCCCAAACAACCTACTGCTATGAGAAATAGCATTGATGTGTATTGGCTCTGGTCAACAAATTGTCTCTAGTGAGGTCGATTTGTGAGTCTGAAAGTTGTTCCAGCCTTTTACATACAGACAATCAACATAAGGTGTACATCTGCTCAAAGAATTTAGTCAAATATTCCTCAAATAGGACAAGGCTGAAGAAAGGGTCCACAACTCCACCATTCCTCACTTCACCACTGGTAAAACTAGCTATGGCTGATAGGAACTATAGTCCTGCAATATCTGGAGTTCCACACATTCCTCTGTGCATTTTTGAAACTGCGCTCATAATTAAGTCCCCATCAGTCCCCTCCCAACAGATGGGGGAAATCATGTTTTGCCAATGAATTCCATTCAAGACACAACATGTGAAACACATAAAAATCAGTAAACCACTAATTGCATACTGGGTTTTCCCCATCAATAGCATTTCTACTTCCCATTAATTAAAAGGTCACACTGTTTTGCTCAAAGGGAAGAAGGAAAGCTGAAATTAATACTGCTTTTCTGAATTGTAACCATGTTTAAATAGCTTTCTGGTTCCTAAAGTAATTGAAATGTATTGTCAAGACTTTCAAATGCCTTTATGATGGAGTGGTAAACTACTGGCATCAAAAAGTGGGGGGGGGGGGAGAAGAATTGGGCACATTTTTGAACCAAATGCCAGGACTCAGCTGAAACACCTGCAAAGTACCATGTACATTTTGGAAAGTAATGTGTTTCTAAATAGGCCCAAGGCAATTAAAAATGGAAAACATGCCAACATGAATAAATGTAGGAAGCATCTGATCACATCTTTAGCAGCTAATGTTATTCTTTATCTTTACTTTGACATTACATCCTGGTATGTTGCTGATTACAACAGTTTGTTAAGTACATGAAATGTGTACATTAAGAGGCATAAGATTTAGCTGTAGTGCTTCTATACATTCAACTAGTGCCAAAACCTTTTTCCAAAAATTACCCTAAGCAAGAAACACAACTTTACATGAAAAAAATCATTTTTAATCAAATAGTAGCTGGCAAATGTTTGGTGTGTTTCTATTATTAAAACTGAAACAGATCGATTAAATAAATATTTATACTAAAAAAATACTTCTACAGCCAATGTTTAATTTCTGAGACTATAGCAGTTGTAGCCAGTACTGATCTGTTATTTAAAGAAACAGAAATGACCAGCTATGTCTGAAATGAACAAAGCAAAGGTTTTATTATTTCCTGTTAAGTCAACATTTGAGCCCAACTTCAGAAAGAAAGCTAATCTTTTGCATCAGAGCTAACTAAGATTAGTCTTCTTGAATTTCCTTTCAAGAAACAAGTCTTTCAACAGGTGTGAAAACAAACACAATAGCATATTCATTTCTATTCCTGGCATTGCTTGTAGATCTTCTTGCAATCCAGAAACATCTGGAGAGCCACAAAGAAATAAACACGCATATATACATGGCCCTTATGAAAAGAAACAACATAGCAAAAGTAAAGCCCATGCTAATTCTGACTGACCTTGGCTCTACATATTCATGTTTTTGATTGTATACCTGTTAATTATAAGGTTGTTCTCCCATCTTTACCTTGGAAAACATTGTTAACTGTTCCCCAGATATTGCTGAACTCCAATTTTGATTACTCCTCACAACTTGGATGGAAATTGACATCCACCAACATCTGAAGGGCATGGGCTTCCAAACTCTACACCAGAATGTTTGTGGTTGTGTGCTTTCAAGTAATTTCTAACTTCAAGTTATTTCTGAGCAATCTTAAGATGACCCTACCATGACGTTTTCTTGGCAAAACTTGCTTTAACCTGTTTTGAGACCGAGAGACTAATTTGTCAAAGGCCAACTAGTGGATTTCTGTGGTTGAGTATGGTTTTGTAACTTAGTCTCTAAGGTGATGGTCCAATGTTCAAACTACTACAACATGCTGGCCCTCTCTATCAGAATGCATACACATCAATTTTTATTATTTTTATTACAATCATTAAATTGGAGATGCTGCTCATAAAACTTAGTTAACCAAGAAGAAATGAGTTCTTAAAATGGACTGCCACAATTCCTGTTCCATTGTACTTTTGCCTTTGTGTCTCTTCTGCATTGATCCAGGATACCATGTTGCTGTAGGAGCGGTGGCTGCCAACAGCTCCAGGGCAGTTGGTATAACATTGATGAAGAAGTATATGAAAGTTAGCTCCGAAGACACAGGTAACAGCATAGGAATGAACTGACCCATTAGCCAACATAAAGAAAATCTTGTGAAGTAGGAACAAACTACTTGTGGCATAGCTATAACAGATCCTCTGTGCCAATTATCTGCCATGAGAGATGTGTGTCACAGTTTTAGAAATATGTGAGCAGAAGCCTTCATATGTTCTTGGTATCTTCTGGAGAGTGATTCTAGGACCCACATAGAAATAAGTCCAATTATATATTTATGGTGTAATAAATGTGTTCCTTATATAAAATGGCAAGATCAAGGTATGGTTTTGGGATTTAAAAATGTTTTCAAACTTTGAATAGTTGAACCCATGGATACAGTGGACCAATTGTATACTTCCCTGTCTTTATGGTACTAAACATAATTCAATGACCTAAATCCAGTTGTTGATCCAAAATATGAATCTACCCAATGAATCAATGGGAACTCATGGAAATTCAACTGTTCAATGGGTCTACCCTACATGGCTTCACAACTGGATTTAGAAGCTATCCAAAATTAAATGCTAAATCAACAAAATGAGTACACACCTAAGGGTACTATAGATCTGCTTTGCATACAGTAAGTTATATTATTAACAATAAACATGAGATAGGTAATTTTTCCTTACTGCTTTTGAAAAATCCAGACATCCCACTCCACGCTCGAATGTTCCAAGGCCAATAACTTGGAGAGTCATCAGGCTCACTGAATCCCATACTCTAACATGGGGCTGCAAAGGCTACATGTAAAAGTAATTTGATAGAAATGGTTACTTAACAGCTAAAATGGGACACATGCAGAATCAAACTTACATTACACCACCAATTTATTGACCAGTAAAATAAATATTGATTGAAGTGAAGATCTTGTAAAATTAAAGGCAACTGAACACTTTGTATCTCATCTCTCAAAACTTTCCATACATTTGTATTTGAAAATATCCCTCGCTGATTATTAGGTGGCATACTATCAGTTAATCTGACTATAGGTCATCATCATCCTCATCATCATCATCGGTGACTCCACATGACATAGTATATGCTCCAAAAGTACTTAAACACCCCTCCACCCCAAAAAAAGCACGGGGAAAAACTTTCCATTCTAGTTTGAATCCCAACAAACCAGAAAGGGAAACCTAAAACAAATTATGGATTCCCCTGTCCGGTTCGAGAAACAAGCTGAAGATGAACCAATTTCCATGTTTGGATGGAATACAGGTATCTGCTTTTACGGATTTACTCTATCAAATGATCTACTTCCAATCTATTATTGTAATTGTCAAAAACAAAAGAAATAAAGCCCCCCCTCAAACTCCCATAGTGAAATATGTTAAGAAATTTTAAAAAGTATACCAGAATAGCAAGAAGGGTATTTGGTATAAAAGAACTTGCAATGGGTGTGCAACAACTTTTTACAAAGTAACATACACTTAGATAGCAGGGTTTTCCTGTCCCCTACATCTGATTGTAACCTCCTGGAAGGAAAACTGTTGAGATTATAGCACTCTGGTGAGAATTCTGGGGCCAGGTTTGTTGGACTGCAGCTCTCTATCAGTCCTAAAGTAGTCAATATACAAAGTATATATATGACATGACTGTAGCTCTCTATCAATTTGTCTTAGTATAGTCACTTATGAAACCATCATGGGAGGAATTGTTCAGCATCATCTGGAGGGTTACAGGTTGCCCACCCTGCAGGCAATTAATATTGTTCAGTAGGGCTGGGCGGTTTCGTTTCGTTAATTCGTAATTCGTTAATAATTCGTTAATTTTTTCAATTACAAAACGATAACGAACCATTCTGGAGCAATTATTAAAAAAAACGAATTTTCAAAAACGTTTTGTAAATGCTTCGTATTTCGATATTGTATTCGTTTCGTTATTGTTTTGAGGTCGTTTCGTTATTATTTCCGCATGTCTGGGCCAGTTTTATGGTTTAATTAGTGAAAAAAAAATATAATATCACACCAACAGTCAACAACAGAGGGAGAGGGAAGCTTCAGAAGGTTTTGGAGGTTTTTTAGCGTATTTCGCGGTCGCGTCCGCCATTAACGAATAGATTCGTTATTGTTTCGGAAATCGATTCGTTAATTTTTTACCATTTACGAAATTTCGTAAATATCGAACTTTTTAAAAGGAAAATTTTGTAATTATTTTAAATATCGAAACAAAAAAACCCTCCAAATACAAATCGATTTTAGAAACAAATTTTTCCGTTGTTACCCAGGCCTATTGTTCAGTGATGTAACAAATATGAATGTATCAACATATCATGAAATTGGCAAATATAATTGATACCAAAACTTTGGAACTGAAGATTAAATCACATGTAAACTCCTATAAGTTTATCTGAGTGAATCTGATAAATTTTAGAAACTGTCCACACATACATACAGTGTCACTAGACCAGGACACTTTTTTTCTTTTTTGTATCTCACTAAAGTCCTCTCATTTCTACATCTTAACAGATAAGACTTGGTGATTTATATGCCAACTGTGACTCCATTTTAGCAGCTATGTGAAAGCTAGTTTATAAGCACTATCACTCTGCTGTGTGATCCCATAGCACTTCTTTTGCCAAAGTGCTTAGGCCTTACTTCGAGCATAAGGAGGTCAGGTTTCATTTTCCATGAAGTAGAACGAGACTGTAAGTGAGCAAAGCTCTTAACAGTCACTTTGTTTTAAGTGTGTGTATGTATATGTAAAAACTGAAAAGGAGAAAGGAGACTTGGTAATATTATATATTTAAAGTCCTATGGTTCTTGACCGACTTTTATGAGAAACCTGAATACACGATTAAAAGAGAGAAGGAAGGATGAGCAGTAAATGGAAGAAATTCAGCAAGGCAATCCCAGTTTTCAGAAAAACAAAGGACCAAGATGGCCGCCCTGAGTCCCTCTTCGGAGGTTGAGAAAGGGCGGGATACAAATGTTCCAAATAAATTAATAATAAATAAATTTCTTAAACTTACTCTTCCATCTTTATCCACCCCAGCTAGCTGTCCAGTTGCAATCCTGATTTTGTCTGGATGAACAGCAAGGCTAGAAAAAACGATGAACATAGAAATCACTTAACAGGGCAGGTATTGGCACAAGAACCATTTCGAAATTTATTTGCATGACTTTTCAGGCATTCATGTAATAGCATATTACTTTTCTGAGAAAGACCACAAAGAATTAGAATTTTAAAAATGAATGTATCCTAAAACAAAAATATATGATGATTCAGTCTACCTTTATTGATGAAGTCATTATATCTTTTTTCTTACAGGATATAATTTGTAATGTATTTTGTAACCTAAGTTGGATAGGTGTTGGCTGTTGTTGTTTGATATCTGTAAAGTTACTTTTTAAAACTATATTCCCAAAGCTCTCGGTCAAATTCTCAGAGTTGTGGTCCAAAAGATGAACTTCTAATTTTTGCTTTTTATGCAACAGGGGCACATAACTTACAGACATTGCACCAATTGTTCAATGGGTAATATCTGTGCAGGTGTGGACTTATATAATATAGTTGGATCCATGCCTTCAAGATCCAAAACAGGGAGACTTTGCTGTTCGTAGCACCTTTAGAAGAAATCTTATACTCTTAGTGCTTGTCCAAATTAATCAGAATTTGATTTGAAGTATCCAAGTATATTTATGTCAACCAAACCAGTATTTTTTAAAATCATGATAATAGGGGAATAAGACCATAAATAGCTTTGGGGGGGGGGGGGGACGGGGACCTAAGACAGATAGGGTGAGAAGGAGCAAAATTTTCTTCACCACTTCTGTTTCTGAATTTGTGCCTCTACAATTGCAACTAGCTCAAGGCAGAGGGCTGCTAGAACTAGTTCACTAAGCAATGTAGGGAAAAACCCTCAATATGATGATTTCAGAGCCTTACATCCAAGAAAGTGATTACTCTCTTTCTCCTTGTCAGTAACTGCCTAACAAACAGTTTAATTTTAATCTAGATTCACAACTGATATTGTTATACATTCTCGAGCATGGGGCCAAGAATGAAGAATCCCAGGGAATATACCATGGAAATATTAACATGCAAATATTACACAGCACATTATATTTCAACAAGACTAGACCTGAAACATATAAGGATTAGAGAGGCAGGAACCAACCATTTAACACAATCTGTATGTCCCAAATAGTGGCGCTGAGTCCGTTCTTCATAGTTAAACAACACGACCACGGATGCAATGAAATATACTATTTCTCCAGTAGGAAGGAGGTAAACATTGGCTCGGCAATCCCTTCCACGATAACCATATCTTTTTTAAAAAGTTAAGGTTTATTTAAAAACAACACAGAATTATAAATAACACCACAATATTATTGGGGGGGGGGGGGAGAGAACTGCTCATATCACCCTAAACACACAGCGGAAGACTCTCAGGTATGGTTATTTCTTGGATGATAAAGCACCAGGGAATACCAAAGACCTTTAGGTAGGACTAGAATATAATCCTGTTTTTAATCTCCTGTAAGCCACTGCTGACAGTCAGCGCTAGAAGATGGACTAATAAAGATTGGAGTTAACTTGGCAAAACAAAGATGTTACTCAATACTTAGTGTTGGGTTAACTGATTTCAGACTTATTTTGCCAATGAAAGACCATAGTTAGCAGTATTCATTTCACTTATATTCTATCTTTTCCCAGGACTGGGATTTCGGAAGGATCACAACATTAAAACAGGGTACACATTTTAAAAGGAATAGAAACAAATGAGTTTTTCATTTGTGTGGTGCTATCCAGACTCTTAATTGCAAAACTATGTCTATATCAAAAAATTAAAGGCAGACAATAACAATAGATCTTAGCAATGTGCAGCCAGTATCCTGAGTAATTTGAACTTGCAAAAGCAATGTCTAGAAATGGATATGGGCCAATTCTCATGCTTCCAAGACCCTTAAGACCTGCTCTAGAAGTCTAGCAGGGTATGGGTATGAAAGAGTGCTGCAATGCTTGTATGTGTTACGTTGTATTCAGGCCCATTGGTCTCAGTGAATTTTGATGGTAGCTGTTAGTAATTTTGTTATATTTTATCATTCATTTTGGTATTTCAAAAATTGCATTCATATTGTAGGCCTTTTCTTAAAAGTACTTTTATGCAGAGTAATGGACAAAGATATACAATCTACAAATAAGCATTGTAGCAAGTAAAAGCACCCTAGAGAAAATTAAATTGCTATGAGTGAAATATATATAGACAGAGAAAGAAAAACCAAGGGATATGGAGACTACTAAACACAAGTATGAGGCATAAAACAGTGTCAGTTTATAAACTGCAAATATGAAACTTTCATTAGGTAATAACAGAAGTCATTGCACTACCTTAACGTATTTTGCAGCCAAGAGATTGCATCAGACAGTAGGCCTTCCTATTGCTGCATTCCAGAGAGGAAGTGTATCAGTTCCATTTGGCCTTTTAAAAGAAGTGTGTGAAAATTCCAACAGCTTCTTGCAAGGTGGCAAGATATTGCTAAGTAAATCCAGAATCTTGGAAACCTCTTTCAGGGCTTGAGGAGGGTTGGGGAGAGTGCAGCGTGACTTTTAAACCAGGGCTTAGAAGAAAAGAATCCCCATACAACAAAAATATAAAAAGATATTCAGTAAAGACATACCCTATATGCTGGGCATGGGCAAACTTCCGCTCTCCAGGTGTTTTGGACTTCAACTCCAACAATTCCTAACAACCGGTAGAGAGTTAAAGTCCAAAACACCTGGAAGGCATTTTTGCCCATACTTGGTACATACTCATGTTTAATTCTAGAAATTATAGCCAAAAAATATCAACAAAAAATCCTGAGTTGACATCCACAGGTGAATGCGCATACTGTACCTTAACTCTTAACAAAAAAAAAGCTGCCATCCCCTCTCTGAAAGGCAAGAACATACATAGTTCATCCCGGGAGAACCAAGAATAAGCACCAACCCCCTCTATCCTTTCAACAATGGTGCTGCTTCTGGCTTTCTTGAATGTCTTGGTGGGCAAATGACTGCAGTGGCCAGTGGCAGCAGACTCCTGGAGGAAGCACAGATGTTTCCCCTTTCTGTGGAATGACCCTCGATCTATCTATAGGTTATATCAAATTCCATAATTTTGGCCCTAAATACTGCCTTTTACACAGACTTATACTTGAGGTCACTTTATACATGAATATATACGATAGGTCGCATTTAGAATTATAGCATTAATATTCCACATCAACTGCTATGGTTCCATCCTATGGACTCCCTGGATTTGGAGGTTAAGGAGGAATGTTTCTCAGGAAGAACACTCGAGTGCCTCACTAAACGAGAAACTCCAGGATTCCACACACCAGAACCATGACAGTCAAAGGAGAATATAATTGTATCATGTGAGTGACCATCTAGTCAAGATTTGGAAACAATCAGGAGTTAGATTATCCTCACTCTTCATAATAACATGTGAAGAGCCTGACCTGATCAGACCATGGCCTATCTAGCCTACCATACTGTTACTATAGTGGCCAACATGTTGCCTATGGAATGCAGAAAAGAAGGGCATGTGTTAAATATACCCTCCCTCTTGCATCCCATGGATTTTATATATAAATACATACTGTTTCTGATATGGAAGACAATATTTTAGACATTCAAATCTCATGTCCTCCTCTGGCATTTTACTAATCATGGTGAACTGAATATCAATTCCAATCATAGTTATTTCCCAAAATGAAAGGTAAGAAACAATTAGTGAGTGACATAATGAATTAAAGTGTTCTTCCATTTCCCTGAGAGTTCTGTTCTCCTAACCCCAATGAAAAATGTCCATGTTAGTCTCCTTTATTTTTGAAGAAATTATTTTAGTTCAAACCTTAATTCAGAATCTATTTTTCTTCCTATAATCAGGTTAGGAAAAGTACAGTGTCACATTTCTACTAGACTAGACTGGGAAAGCTGTCCCAGAACATTTTGTTCCATTAATTCAATTTTGCTTGGACATAATTTCTGGAGATAGCTTTTCAAAGTCAATAGAAATATAAATAAGAACAATGGTAATAACATCTATTTGGTGTCAAAATCCAAAATATTAAATACAAAATGTATTTGGCCTCCAGACTATGCAAGCTATGCAAGGATGCAGAAGTGATATTAAAAGAACCATCTTTCCTCTGACTTTAGAATAACCAATTTTTAAAAAGAAGGCTGCCTTCCAAGCGCAAAATATTGAACATTTTCATCAACATGCACACATTAATCAATGGCATTTGACATCAATGAACTGACAATTGTAGATGTTCAATTTATATATTTGTAGATAACAGATGAAAAACTCTTAGAATACAGCCAAAATCTGTTTCCTGGTTCACCAACCTGAAAGACTGATTCACACAATCTGAAAAAAACTCTAAATTTCTATTTGCATGCGTTTTCAGCTTGCCCAAATGTGTATGTGCATAAATGTACATGTAAATGAGACCCCCATTCATTGATAATGGGATAGAAAGATAGAAAAAGCAAAGTAAACAAACAAATAAAGAACATATTTGCATTGCTGGATTAGTTCATGGTCCAACTGTCCCTTTCCAAGAAACTGTCAATCCAAAGCTATTTCATTATGTTTGCTATGGGGCTGTCATTTAATATTCTCAAAGGAATGCTCCTTCACTTTGCCAAACCTGAGGATAGACACCTAGTGATATCTCTATTCAGATATAATTCACTATAACTACTTTTCCTAGTCTCAGACTATTTCACAATCTGACTCTCCGTGTCTTTTTCACATGGGCTGGTTGTTCTCATGCTGGGGAACAGAACAGAAGTCTTGTTCTGTTCCTGCTGTACTACTTAGAAATTATTGTTCACAAAACAATGCTCCCACTGCAATGTAACAAAGGCTGCTTGGAAGATAAAGTAAAGAGAGATTGAGAAGGGTGGAGGGAAGGATGTGCCAGAAATGACTTTTGGAAATAGAATTTTGCACACAGAAATAGCTCAAGCAAAGCCAAACCAAACAATGCACAAATCAAGCAACTTCTGGGAGGTGGGGGGGGGGGATCAGACTTCAGCTAAATGTCGCTTAATAGTTCTCTATCACATGGAGGGAAGTACAAATGTTATCTGCCTGAGAGCTAATATCCATGGTAATTAAATGGAAGCTCCAAATACCTCTATATGTACAAGCAGTCCCCAAGTTATGAACAAGATAAGTTCTGCAGGTTTGTTCTTAAATTGAATTTGCATGTAAGTCGGAATAGGTACATTTTTAAATGCAACTCCAACATATATATAGTTTTGAATAGCATAGGGAAGGGTTAACACCCTTGTAGTGTTTGTTTTGCTGTCTGTGCCCTTGTTCAGAAGATTTTACCTCATTTTATGTCTCTGTGATAACTGCATTTAGAAAAAAAGGTCTTGTTGCAGAAACAAGGATTGGCAAGAAAGCTTCAGTGGAGACCCCCTTTCCCCATGATAACTCTTTCAGGAGTGAATTTCCCTTCCAAGGGAAATTAATTATGAGTAATTTGTAAGCCAGGTGTTTGTAACTTGGGAACTGCCTATATACAGCAACAACTGCTAGGAACAAAGAGCAGGAAGGAATTGTATTTATGCTAGAACCTCGTAGACATCATGGAAGCTTATCATCATAACAGGATGGACTAAATCAAGGACGGAGAACAGATAGTCCCTCGACCACACCATCTTGCCCCCTTGCTATTAAATGGCAGGCAGGGGAAGGGGCATGGGCACCTCAATGTGTGTATTTTTCAGGTTTAATTGCAGAGCAGGGAAGGGCACTGGAAAAGAGATGGAATAATTAGAGGTACAAGATCCCATGCGAAAGTGAAAAATAGCTCTCTAAAAAAATAGTTCCAGCATGACTCTAGAGTTGATTTCTGCTGGAAGCTTATCGCAGAATTGCACTAGAGGAATTAGAGATTCTTACAAAGAGTATTTAAATAAAATCCATCAACAATCAAATCAAATAACAAAAATAAAAAATCACAAATGTAGAGGGCCCATGTTAATACTTTATTTATCACCCGAAGGGATTCATGGCAGTTTCCAAAGAAGGTAAGACAAAGTGTGTCGGTGTCAATTTTGCATGAAATAAGCAAAAGACTTGTATTTCTAATAGACTTGGACCTGAATCACTGTTAACAAAAAGATTTGTAGTTTTTAGAGGGTCATTTTCGTTTACTTTCTGAAAACAGAAAGGGGAAGAGAGAGACAAAAAGACCAGTGAAACAGATTCAGAAAGACGATATTTTTGAAAAGTGTTAAGTCCACAAAATACCCGAGGCAGGGGGATCTGCATCATCTTTTTCTCTCCCTGGCATAACAAGCCTCCTCTATATTTTCTTGGAAAGCCCAGGGAACTCATTTTCCCAGTGGCACTAACATAGGGTGGCCACTGAAAGTTCCTCTGGGAGAATGATGGGAGTTGAAGATTTTCTCTCCGTGTCTCTCTCAGCTAATAAAAAGCCTGGTGGTGTCCATGCTCTGACTGGCTGAGACTGGACACAACCAGTGACTACAATTCTTAAATGTTATCGTTAAAACTTAAAATCATTCTAAATCATCAGTAGATTGGTGAATTGTTTTGAAACTTGGCAGGCCTACAACTGGGGGTCTACAACTGAGGTAGGTTTCATGCAGATAGGCCCTGATGCTCCCCTTCCACTTGTCTTAAATAAAATATGCTTCAAAATAATAAGAGAAACTGGAAAACCAGTTTTGAAAGGAATTTTGCTCCAGTTTGTAATAAGGATACACCCACTCCAGTTTTAATTTTTCAGGAGGCAGCTCTGTCTTGATTTCCCAATATTTTTCTACACCTGAAGGAACAAACATTGTGATGGGCCGTCCTCTCATGAACATCTTGATGTACTCGCCTTCTGTCAAAACAAAAGTGTGTACCAGAGAGTAAGTTTACTTCACAAACAAAAGTGGAACAAACTGTAAAAATCTGCACGTTCGCTTCATTGTAATTCTATACATTTGAAACAGATCCAGACTTTCAAGGGGGGAAATGAATACCGCAGCATATTTGGCTTAGTTTGTCTTTCTAATCAGCTTCTTACCCAACTGTCATTCATGTAATCCCTTCAAATTCTGAGCTCCTCAAAATGCTGCCTTCATTCATATTACAGTGGTTGGGAACTATTGGTCCTCCAGATTTAATTCTCGGAAGCCTCAGTCAGAATTACGTATAGCACAGGATTTTGACACGAGATAGGAGAGCCTAAGGGCCTGTCCAAACAGGATCTTTATTGTGATAACTCACACAATAAAGGAGGGGATGTCCAGACAACGTTCTGGACAGTCCCAAATTAATTTGCTACAAACCAGGAAAACTCTGGTTTGCAGTAAATTAATCTGATAGCGGCTTTATTCTGCGCCTTCTTGGGAGGCACAGGATAAAACCACTATTTCTGTTTCTGGACTGCAGAATATTGCAGTCCAGACAGTTTACCAGGCTAAATAAGCCCGGTAAACTATGGGAATACCCACCCCTCCTCCCAAGCCCCCAGAGACAGCCTAGGATTGTAATGGAGGATGGGTACGTTTTTATTATTTTTCTAAGGGGTCTGGGTGCTTGGGGGGAGGGCCTCCAGACATTTTCTTGGGCTAGTCCAGAGAGAGCATTTGGATACCCACCCCAGAAAGCGTGCGTTTTCTGAGTTGGGTGTGAACAGGCCCCAGGAAAATCTGTGTTTTTTAAAGATAGATTCTCCTGGGATAAAGGCCTGTCTGGATCTGGCCAAAGTTTCCTTACTTCTGCTTCATTTTATGGGTTATATTTGTACTGTCTCCAACACTGGATGCTGCTGGTCCCACTGCCCCACTCACTTTATATTCATTTTACAATTCTAACTGGCCATTCCTACAACGTCAAAGAAAGGCAAGCCAATGAATAAAAGTCATTTCATGCCTCAATTTATAAAATGAAGGAAATGGAAGTGTGGACAACCCCAGTATTCGGTTTTAAAGTTCTGATGGGGAATGAGGCCAACTCATTTTTTTTCAGGCACACCTATAACCATCCCACTTTTTTCCAGATGACCATAACTGAACCTGGCCTCCCTATCCTCACAAAAATCTCAGAGCTGCACCAGGGAAGGAAGCATGAAAGGGGTTTCTCTCTGTGGCACTCTGGCTGTGGAAACCCCTTCCTTCATAGACCTAACTGAGAGCAACAATGACCTCAGTCTCATTATCAAGTTAAAACCTGACTAAAAGGGTGCTGATTCCAGAGACCATCGCTAAACAAATAGTGTATTTCTGTTTTTAATGTATTCTGCATACATTGTTTCAAATCATTTCAAAAATGTTTAAATTAGCTAAGATTGTTCGAAATTGTCACTTTACACAAATTGTTTTGAATTATCTAATGCTTTTATATTTCAGAGGAGGAAACAGGCAACACTACCTTTTTTGCCTATTCCCTCCTCTGTATGTATGCATGGTAGGGAATTTGAGTGGATGGTCCTTCTGATGTCTTCCAATTCCGCGATTCTACCTCTGAGTATCCCTTGCCTAAGAAAACCATATAAAATCCACGGGGGTCACCATAAGTCAACAAGTTTTCAACTTCCTGAACAGCCAACAGATATTGGGCTGGAAGGTGGAACGCTACTATCTATCTATCTATCTATCTATCTATCTATCTATCTATCTATCTATCTATAATGTTGAAAATGTAAGTTTTTTTAAGCTTTGAACATGACCTCTTGGTCCTCAGGGGGAAAAAACCCATAGAATTCTCATGAGAGAAACAGGAGGCTAAAATGTGGCGACTGCCTGAGTGGAAGTTTTGGTTATAAATAGCACCGACAAGCATTTTCTCTTTGTATTTCCTCAGCACACAGAAACAAAAGAGCAGATGGGTAAGAAAAAAAATACTGCTTTTGGTATATTCTGATATACTATGCAAACTTTGGAGTGCTCGCTTGAGTGCATTGCAGACCTTTTGATTAAATGGTTTGTTTAAACAAATTAAGGCTAACCTGGATGAAAGAAAGGTGTCTACGTCTGGGGACTCTCTCACCCAGATGCTGTGCCTCTTTCTTTTATTGAAATCTAATACTACAAAAACTTCTCTTTGGAATAACAAGCCCCCAGGGCAATTACAGTGCTGATACAAATACTCTTTTGAAAACTCTACAGATAATGGCAGCATATCAACAAAAAGCATTTTTCAAATGAAAGATAGAATTGCCAGGGGCCAAACTCCTGTAAATACAAGCTAAGAGAAGCAAGTTTCACTCCCTTTTAATTTATATTAGTTTAATTATCATGTTTTAGAACTTCAAACTCACTTTTATTGGTTCCCTTCCAAATAGTGAAACGGTTTTTCAGAATATTCATTTGTCCCTCAACATGCTTTCTTATATTTTCTCCCCCTCTGCTTTTTCAAAACTCATATGAAACCAGAAGCCATTGCAACAAACCAAAGTACCCAAAAAGAGGGAAGATTGATCTCTTTAAGAGGAAGATGAAAAGCAGTTTAACCCTTAAGTAAAGGTAAACGTTTTCCTGTGACATCAAGTCCAGTCGTGTCCAACTCTGGGGGTTGGTGCTCATTTCCATTTCTAAGCCAAAGAGCCGGTGTTGTCCATAGACACCTCCAAGGTCATGTGGCCGGCATGACTGCATGGAGCACCGTTACCTTCCTGCCGGAGTGGTACCTATTGACCTACTCACATTTGCATGTTTTCGAACTGCTAGGTTGGCAGAAGCTGGGGCTAACAGCGAGAGCTCATGCTGATCCCCGGATTTGAACCTGCAACCTTTCAGTTAGTTTAACAGCAGAGAGGTTTAACGCACTGCGCCACCAGGGGTTCTGTTTAACCCTTAGCAGTTATTAATATGTCACTCTTGTTGTCATCAACTTCATATTAAATACTATGAATTCACCTAAAACACTCAACTCAATCAGTAAACTTAGCTGAAAATTTATCCAAGATCATTTTATTGCTGAATAACTGCTTTAAAAGGAGTTGAAATATGCGCTTCTGACATGTATCCATGGAACATATTGACCTTTCTGCCTGATTATTCCTAGAGATGTTGACTACAACAGTGTAATTGGACTAATAAAGAGTAGCATTTTATTGGTATTAGGTGCATGAGTAAGAACATCTGGATGTTGCTATGATCGCTGAACTGATGTTTCAACTCAGATGAAGTTTACGTGTAATGCTCACAGTGATTACGACAGCCTCCATACTAATACAGAGAGCTATTTACAGTTCTGCATTTGCAGGTGCTTGGAGGACAGATAATATGGTGCATTCAACCATTCACATGACAAAAAAGCCACCAGTGAAGAACCGTCTTAAACATGGCTATAGCAGGGGTGGTAAACTATCATACCAACCATAGTATGCTTTGGTCCAGCTTTCAACTATCTGCGGAAAAAAATATCTCACCAGTAAAATGATAATTTGCCTATTTTACTATGCTTTGTTACAAAAGAGTATGTGTGTGTGAGTCTGTAATAGTCTTTTCTCTATCAGACTTCTTTTTTATAAGAACTGCAAAGCTGATTTTTCCCAGATTTCTTCTTGCTACTCAGAAAAGGGAAATAATGCATGAAAGATGATGGGAAATAAATACAGATAGGCAATTTCATAATATGAAGCATTTCAGTGAAAGACTCTTCTTCTTCTACCGACAATTGACCATGATATTACAAGGTAGGAACCATGGAATGTTAAAGAGGTCAATCACACACATTCTCTAATTGCCTTCTAAGGTATATTTTAAAAACAAGACTATATATACAGTTTGCAGATGAAATGGGGCATACTGTATAAGCTCATGTATAAGTCTAAAACTTTTAGTAAAATAAAACTGAGTCTACTTATCCATGGGACAATTAGATGACTGTACCTTAATTCTCATATATTAAATATTATATCAAAAATATAGTTTATTATATGGGCCCAAGACCATGACAAAAAGCACTACATACGCACAATACTACCCTCGGAGTAACAGGCACCAAAGATGCCAAACAGAAACCATAATCTGCTTACACAGCAAAAGCAATGCAAGTTAATAATAATTAAAGTACATTTTAGGAGAGGATCCAGTTAACCTTCAGAGTCTCCTCGGCAAATGATAGCAATTTTATCTAACTCTGTCTTTCTTATATTTTTTGCAGAACAAGCAAAAAGAGCTACTTTGTAAGTTACATAGTCATAAGTTACATATATAAAAAGAACCATTCTACTTCTCTGAGTAGCATGGAAAAAGGCAAGAGCTTGGTCCATACCCCTGAACCCATCTTCTTTTTCATCCATGGCACCATTTCTGGACATATCGGGACAGGGAAATTGTGATGGCAGCCAGGGATAGCTGGCCTCCTGAATTGGCATTTGTGCTTCTTCCTTTCTGTGGAATGACCATCAACTTGTCCATGGGTTATATCAAAATCCATAATTTTGGTCCCCAACCTGCCTTCAACCAATAAATGAGGCTGACTCGTTTAAGAGTATAGACTATAGTTCTAACATTGTGAGTCCTTTTAGAGCTATTTCACAACATGTCAGAGGAAAAACAACTTTATCCAATTTCTTCATCAAGCATGTTTTTTTTATTTAAAAAAATCTCTGATGTATATACCTATATGTACCTAGTGTTAAATGATTCAAGAAAAATCCAGCCTCTAGGGTAAGCTGGGCGGGGGGCTCATAATTTCATATATTCAGATACTTAAACAGGTAATCCTGTTTCTCATTACTAACATCATTGCTCAAGAAATCTGCATGTAGAGGCCTGCTAGCCCTGGCAGCCCAGCTTAAAGGGTGTCTTTCACGTGCAGCCAAGTGGAAAGCAAAGTCCTTAAAATAGGTACTGGCACATAGCTGCATCCTTGATCCCCAGCCAAACATGGTTGAAAATTTATTAAACCGTTAGAACAGATTCTAAGAGTCACGGCATGTTGTTGATGTTAGATTCAAGGATGTTGTATCCTTTTTTAAAAAAAATAATGAAAGTACATTTGACTATGGCTGCTATAAGAGTTAAAAGGTTTAAAGGCAGGACAGAGGGAAGGGTGAAGGAAATACAGTCTTAGCAGTAGTTCACTTTATTGTCGAAGGCTTTCATGGCTGGAATCACTAGGTTCTTGTGGATTTTTTCGGGCTATAGAGCCATGTTCTAGAGGCATTTCTCCTGACGTTTCGCCTGCATCTATGGCAAGCATCCTCAGAGGTTGTGAGGTCTGGAACCTCCCTAACTGAATGGGAGTTGACTGAGCCATTTTAAATGCCTGTTCCTGCCTGTTCACTTTATTATGGACAATGAATAACCCAGTTCGAGTCTTAGTATTCCTGACTCTCTTAGCTGGACATATGTTGGACCAAAACCATAAAGGATATTTAAATAAACATCTGAATTTAGGATGGGTAGATAAACACAATAATCAAAATAGAATGAGATAAAGTCCAAGGACTTTCTACACGAGTATTTTGTTCAGTTTAGGTGCCACCATCCAGTTTCAGTTCATTTTCTTTGGTTCCATGGTTGAGAGAGTGAGAAAAACCTCCCTTCTTTCTATTCTCTGCACATTGCATTATTTTATATTCCTCAACATGTACTCCTCTTGTCTAGCTTTCAAGCAAAACAACTCCAAATTATGATTTTTTTTCTTTACAGGAGAGTCATTTCAGCTCTTGGATTATTTTGTTTGTTCCTTACTAAACCTTTTCAAATTCTCCAAATAGTCTTTAAGAAGTATCTTGAAACCACACAGGGTATTCCAAACGTGATCATACAAGTGATCTGTGAAAGGGTTCATGGCATTATTTTATTTCTTTCCTTCAACATGCAATGAACTCTTCGTTTCAATCCTGAGATTGCCCAGGCCTTATCATAGTCAGACCAGAGACTATATGCGTGTGCAGAATCAAAACCATATATTGTAGAAAGAACACACAATTGCCTGTTTGGAAATACTTCCACTTCTTTAGAATGTCTTGAGTGTATTTCCCTTAACTTGTGAAATCAATCTATTACATTTATTGTTACACCTGCTATGAAACTCTTAGGAGAAAAGATGGGTTCACAAACAAACAAACAATATTAAGCAGCTGTTCCAGAGAACAAGGGACATATGCCATTCCATAGGACAAGAGAGGGGCAGAAATTAAAGCAAATCTAGAGCATTCCTAGGAATGTTCTCATAATGATAAATGTTGTTAGTGCAGTTAAATTTAAAACATAGGCTATACATGTGCAATGGTTCATGCATCAGATGAAGCATGCTTTTTAGCACACAAGTGTTTATGCCATAACATGTGTCAATCTATAAGATGCCTGAAGCCAGCACTGTATAGCAGGAAGTAGCTAGTTATCAACCCCTGAGAAAGGAATAGTTCTGCATACTGCTTGTATGGCACGGCTATAAAACTATACTTTAAAAATTCTTATCTTCCCCCACTTTTGGAGAGATGGGGTCCCTGTTTTTAGCTGTGTAGTAATTTCACAATAACATTTGACAAAAGAACTCCAAAGTTGTTTTCCAAAATGAATGAGAGTGCATTAGCATTACACAGTTCGTGCAGTTCTGATAGCACAAATGTACTTTGTTAATGAGCTCTAATGAATTTTCCTGATATACAACATTAGAGCTCTTGGGAGAAATATCTGGGTGCCACATCAAACTATAAATCCCAGATTTCCACAGGATGGGGCCACAATATTTGAAACAGCATCAAACTGTACACTCTGATTTATTTGGAAATCAGTCCAATACAATATGGCAAGTACAAGGAAGGCTATAGAAGTGCCTGATGGATATTTACAGAGTTATAACACTACCAGAGAAAGAGCTCTGAGAAATAATACACCATTAAAAAAACTTGCAGCTTGTCCATTCTAGAAGTAATCCGATCTTCTCTGTACAACATCTTATGTTTTGAAATGTATACATACATTTCATAATAAATACATTATAAAAATATAAATATATTGTACTTTTTTAAAAAACCCAGAAAGTTGCATAGCTATCAAGAGTTAGTGTGCAAATTTGTATCCCAATCGTATGCCAGCTAATTACAATGAAAACGATATGAAATACACAAATAATACAAGAATAATTCAGCAAAATCTATCAGCTGATGGAGAAATATAATTTTTATCATTTCAATATGTATCTTCATTTGTTCAAATGAGGAAGAAATACTAGACCCAAATAGAGTCATGACTTACAGGGATGGACAAATCCATAGAGTCATTTATGTCTCATCCTCTGCTCCAAGGGATCACAGCACATATATGCATACAAGATAAACTACACATATATATGTATTATGTGCCAAAAGAGAAGGGCAAAGCAAATAGGGACACCATCTTAGACGAGAACAAAGAGACAATGAAAGCAAGTGATCTGAATCACACAATTGGGAGAAAGCATCCCCAAATTTTCTCCAGTTAATAATTGTGCAAGCGATGTGAACAAGTACAAGGGATAAAAAATTTGTCCTAAAGCCACAAGAATAAGGTAAAATGCAAAAGCTATGCCATGCATAGAGCGAACATGCTCTAGGTTTCAAGCTTCATGCTTCAATGACATTTGCTGATCTAAGTCAGTCTTTAGCAAGAAGTAATTTTCTTAGCTGACAGTACATGTACATACATTCTGGGATAATACCACATTCCTTTTCCCCTTCATCAGCAAGTCAGTCACAGGCCAACAGTAAGGCAAAATTTACTGGCACAAACCAACTTTTCTTTTAAGGGTTATCATGATAATTTCAATTACTCAATTACACCGATACACTACCAGTAACCCGAAGTACTGAGAGCAAACTGGATCTTTTAGTTGGCATTGCAGGGTGTGATAAAAGTCAACTACCTATAACATTTGAGTATTTCATGCCCTTTTTTGAAATAGAAAATTAAATGCATAGTAAGTAACATTTACAATTTGGAGGCGGGGGAGTAGAGGCTTCTTGAATCCACCACTGCTTTGTTTAGGTCCAGGAATATATTTCTAGTGAAGCTAAAGAGGTCGAACCCATGTGCTTTGGAAGAGCAAAAAGCCAAATAAAAGATCAAAAAAAAGCATTTAACTAGAAAGCAACCAGCTAATACAGTTTTAGTCCTTACCTTGGCTGTTTTTTTCTCGGGTTGACATTTTTGCTGATTGAGGGACAGAAATAAAATAACTTACAGGTGTTTCCTGTCCTGGGTGAAGTCTACCATTCCAAACCCAATCTAGTTTTTCAGAAAAGTAAATATGCACAAGGGGGAAAAAATCTAGCACATCAAACAAAAATCAGAAAATCTATGCTACAAGTAAAAACTGTACAACACACTCGTGATGGACAATATCTCATACATTTATACTACTGTTGAAAAGATTTAATTGCACTTGATATGTCAGACATGCACTCCAATCCAGAAACCCAGAGTGGCTTTCTGAGTGTTTGTACATTTGAGTAGCCCTATTGTTTGTTTCTTGAGATAGAATCGAAAGCTGATTTCAGGTCCATAAAGGCCACAAACAGCTTGCCTTGTAGTAGTTTAACATGCTCCTCAGCAAGATGGGAGAGCACTAAGGAGTGGTCAGTAGTTGGCAAATTGTATCAGGAATCCATTGATCATTTTAGATCTATCTTTACTGAGTAACCCTACTGGTTTAAATGGAAAGTAGCAGAACCAAACCCAAGAAGAAAGGCATATGCAGTGTTACTTTTTCTATTAAGAGGAAAGTTTTACAGGCAGAAACAGATAGATGTGTATTAGGTCCCTCACTGATGCCTATTTCCTCCTAACAGATCTGAGCTCAAAAGGGGAAAAAAAGCTCTACTGAAAGTCAATATATGGCAAAACAAAAGCTAATAATTATATAAAGCATGATTTCACTGACTTAAATCTTGGAACAAACTAATTATAAAATATATTGATTAGCCTTAATTGGAAAGAGTCAAACTCTAATCCTGAATCAAATGTTTCCCATTACCTTGGCTGATAATGACATCTTTGTGTCTGTGGAGAGAAATGCAAGATGTTACTACTATATCTAAACATCAGTTTAAAACATAGATACTGAGATATATCGATGCTGATAATTTTGGTAATGTAAGTAAATGGTACAGAAAATCATCTATACAAAAAGTGATGGATAGAAGCAGATTTTCTTTAAATATATATGTTTTCAATTAAATCTACTTACATGTTTATTATAGGCACATGTTTTTCTATTAAAAATCAAGTGGCAATATAAAATTACTATGAAATGCATAAGAAGATACCTAGTGGATTGGTGGTTCTAAGCTGTGAAATCTGGGTAAGTAACCTGTCCTGGATGGGGTTTCACACCCTTTGAAGGAATAGGTGTATAGTCTGGGAGTAGTGCTGCATCCATTTTTGTCGCTAGAGATCCAGATACAACTTAGTGTGCTTGGGGCCAGTATTCCATACACTGGTAATGCACTGTATTTGGCTGTTCTTCAAGATGACTTAGAACAGTAGTTCAACCTGTGGGTCCCCAGATGTTTTGGCCTTCAGCTTCCAGAAATCCTAACAGCTTGTAAACTGACTTGGATTTCTGGAAGTTGCAGCCAAAACACTTAGGGACCCACAGGTTGAGAACCCCTGACTTAGAAATTGTAGCTAATACAAAATGCAGCAGCTAGACTACTCATTGGGACTTGTTTCAGATACTACTGTATTTCCCCGAAAATAAGACTAACTGCATATTAATTTTGGCTCCGAAAGATGCAGTATGATTTATTTTCAGTGGGTGTCTTATTGCTAGTCATAAGGTGGGGCTTGCGGGGCAGCGATGTCCTCCTTGGGAGTTTGTGCTTGGATGATGTCATAATCTTCTCTATAAGCAACAGCATTGCTTTAACAATGGGTTCATCTACACTGCAGAATGGGTGAAAAATGGCACCACTTTAACTCCCATGGCTCAGTGCGACAGAATTCTGGGAGGTAACAGCACTACGGAGAAAAGCTATAAATACCTTGTAAAACTACAACTCCCATGAGCCAATGCAGTTAAAATGGCGTCAAATTGCATGAATTGTACAGTGGAGATGCATCCCAAAGGGTATAAAGATCATGTAAAACTACAGCTCCCATAACTCAAGGTAGTTAAATGTGTCATGCCGCATTCATTCTGGCTGACAATATTAACTGGGGCTTGTTTTGGGGGGAAAGGGCTTATATTATGAGTATAAAACACAAGATCGAAAGAAATTGCACTGGCTGCCAATACACCCCTGGTTTAAATTCAAGGTGCTGGTGACAACATTGAAATTCCTAAACAACTTGATATCTTTTGGATCTGTTGAGGGAACCCACTTCATGAATGGTGTTTGCTCTGCTAATAGGCATCTTCAGATTTCACTCAGAACAGACATTTTAGAAAAGCTGAGTACAGAAGCTCATGGGGACAAAGTGATTTGCAGTAGAATGACACTGAATAAGAATCAAATGACTTACTTGTCTGAATTCTTTCCACCTTTGGATATCAATTTTGATGCGGACGTTGCCCTCATTAGTTTATTACGGCTGTCTTCTGAACTTTCCCAGGCACTGTGTGACTTCTCAATTGTTGATGCTCTTTTCACACTAAAAAATCAAGCACATTTTTTCCTGTTGTTAAACCAGGAACTAAATGGGGCAATGCAAAAAAAAAACTGCACTGGAAATGCAACAGATCAAGCAGCAGGAGATGAAAGAAATGCCAGACCGAGCCATCCTTCAAGCAAATCCACAAGGCTCCCAGAAAGAAGGATTAGAGAAAATGCTCTAATTGGACATTTGAAGACAGTCAAAAGGGCAACAGGTTTTTTTTTAAAAAAAAAAAAAAAAGTCTACTTATGTGGGATTTTTAAAGAGTTTTTGTAGAACTGGGTTGGGAGAAAGACTGATTACATTTTAAGTGATTTGCAGTATGTTGGCAAGGATTTCAGACTCCAATTTTCTAACATCAGCAACAACTAAAAACTACTCTCATTAAATTTTGTGGCTAAAAAGAAAGAATGCTTGGGGGAAAAGGGATCCTAGAAAGGATTGTGCATTGTGATTCTGAATCTGGTACTGATCACTGGGCTCAAAGACATTCTGTTCCTTGTTTGTTAGCATATCCTTTCTTGCCAGAACCACTATTTTACACTAGATCTCATCCAGCGGGCATCAAAACTCCGAAAAAAGTGTGGAGTGAAATAAAAGAAAACAACAGAAAAAAGTAAATCCCATCAGCTAGCGATCTACCCAACTTTCAGAAGCAACATAGATCCAAATGCACTGATGCTTCTCATATTCACTATGAAAGAACAAATTATAGTAGAGTTTCACTTTTCCAAGCTTCGCTAATCCAATGTTCTGCATTATCCAACACTGTCTGTCTCCAGCCTGGATCCACGACTGTTTCAATACATTGCGATGTTTTGGTGCTAAATTCGTAACTACAGTAATTACTACATAACATTACGATGTACTGAACTGCTTTTTCTGTCGATTTGTTGTAAAACATAATGTTTTGGTGCTTATTTATTTAATTTATTTATTAGGAGCATTTCTATCCCATCCTTCTTGCCTCCGAAGACAGACTCAGGATTGCTACCAATAGGCATCACTTGGTGCCAAACAATAAAACAAGCATAATATACAATTAACCTACATTAAAAACAATTATAGATACATTAAAACAGTTTGCCATTTTGAGTCAGTTTGAGTCTTGCTTAATTTGTAAAATCATAACATAATTTGATGTTTAATAGGCTTTTCCTTAATCCCACCCTAATATCCAACATTTTCGCTTATCCAACGTTCTGCTGGCCCATTTATATTGGATAAGCAAGACTCTACTGTACCTGCAATCATTAATGTGGACAAGAATGCTAAATCAGCATCCTGACACATTGAGTGATTAAGCTCATGAGCTTCCTATATAAAGATATATTTTTTAAAAAATAAGGGTTGCTTTAGGCAAGCATCCCTTTTTTTGCCTCCTTCACCTATCTCCAAAGTATCTATAGTATAAAGATGCTGCTACTGACCTAAGGCTGTGATGTCCCATAAATCTCACATAAATGTGTTCTTCCTTTACATGCTTGCTACGGAAATATTTCCATACTTAGTGTACTTAATGTAATGAGTCTTTTCTCAAATGATTTGACTGCTAATGCATAATGTGCAGTTTCCACTCTGCAACTTAAAATATTTTTAAAATACTCCTGCCCTTGTTTAGTTTAGATACAGGACTGCTCCAAGGGAGGAGAAAGTTCAATTCAAGTCACTGCAATGCTGACAGGTGCCCAACAGACTGCCTTGCAATGCATCCAATTAAAGCAATTTTTTGGAAAGACGATATGTATCAGCAACAACTTTATTTCCACAAGACCTTCAAAAGCTAAGGGAGAAAAAAAGAGTAATAAAGGTTATTGAAGGCAAACATTAGAAAAAAGTGAGAACACACACAATTCTTGTTGCCCAGGCGGTAGCGGATTAAAACAATGAACCCTGAAAAAATGCTTTTGTATAGCAAGATGGCAGACAGAACAGTCCAAAGTCCGCTTTAAGGGAAGTTTGTGCAAGATAACAGACAGAGCTTATGCGAGACTGTTAAACATGCATTGGTTAAGGTTGCATCAAACACAATGCAGGGAGCAGTTCCATTTAGAAGAAAAAACACATGAACTAGATGTAGGCAATAATATGTGCCAGCTACATATATATCTGCTTTACTGTGCAGTCAAGTGGCAGAAAATTAAAATTGGATGTGGCTTCCTAGCAAAAGAGAGTTTTGTTAAGTTAATTAGAAATAGCCCAGGGAAAGGAAGTCATTTGTATGTCTTCCATTTCGATTATTAGTTTGTGTTGTGTACTGGTGTGCATTGGAGGGGTTTTTGCCTTAGATGTTGTTCTATATCTATGAAACTATGATTTTTAAAAAACATATATATGTGTTTTAAACATATTTAATAAATAATAAATATTTGTAAATGGTCTTTTCCAAACATAATGCAGATCTGCTTACTTGAAGACACTTTTTTCCTACATGTCAGTTCCCTTCCTGAGGCATCTCATGCTGTGGAATATCCACAGACCTTAAAGCAATGGTTCTCAACCTGTGGGTCCCCAGATGTTTTGGTCTTCAACTCCCAGAAATCCTAACAGATGGTAAACTGGCTGGGATTTCTGGAAGTTGTAGGCCAAAACACCTGGGGACCCACAGGTTGAGAACCACTCCCTTAAAGGATTATTTTCAGGGAACACGTATGAGAGACTACTGAGAAGGAAGGGATAAGAAAGACCAGTCATTTTAATGGATTTTTTCTTCCATGTTTTACACAGCTTCTACAGAGGAAATTAAAATGTTTGAAGGACCTTTTAAGAAAGAATGCCTGGGAATATACCTCTTCCCATTAGCCCTTTGGCAAGCATGAATTATATACTTACTTTCTTATAATACAGTGTCCAAACTGGGTTGGAGTCAAACTAAATAAGTTGCCCTAGGGGGGGACACTGAAACTAGCGGAACAAGTTAGTCATGTTTTAAACAGACCATCAAGTTCAACTTGGAGGAATATCTGTTACAGTTATAGCACTTTGGTACCATTGAATGCCATGGCTCTATTCTCTGGAATCCCTGGCTTCACAGTTTCATGAAGCACTTAGAATTTTTTGGTTAGAGAGCTCTAGTTCATTTTGCTGATCAAACAGCAATATAGTCTTCAAGATTTATTTAAAGGACCTCATCACAATACAGAATGGAGCCATGACAGTTAAAAGTTTTGTAATTCACTCCAACCTGAATTTAGGGCTCACTGATTGGTTTGGATAATGGAGGAACAGTCCAATTCGGATAGGTCCACAAAATATTAATACGCTTTAATGAAAATATTTAACAGCTGACAGACATGACAGATTGATTTGTCAAAAAGCAGGTTTCAATAAAACCAGTGTTGTGTGCTTGATTCAGTTATCTGGCTAAATTGGATTTCATTATCTAGTGCACGGGTTATACGATAGTGATATATTTTGAGGTTCATTCTAGTTCTTGAGGTGTACATAAAAGGACTTGCTCTCTATTTCTGCCTTAAAAATACGTAAAAACAGTAGGGTCTAATTTTAAAAACAAACTGGAAGCAGTACAGCCTGTATATGGTTAATTTCAGACCAAACCTCGGGATTATTACTTTTGTCCTGGAATGGTGAGCTTTCTGATCCCTCATTCATTGCAGTTATTTTTCAGCTTTATTGCTGCCAACAGTAGAGACAGTCTGGAACTGTGAGTACAATGGGGGTTTTGCTAGCTATTCTTTGGTTCTGCCCTAAACCCAGGGGACGGATGATGGCTGAGTGGTCCAGGGCATGTTTTCATGCAGAACGTCCCAGTTCAATCCTTCACATTAAAAGGGATAAGATGCAGGTGATGGGAAAATCCATTTTCTGCCTCACAGACCCCGGGAACCACTGCCAGTCAGGGGAGGACAAACACATAGAATGACTGTCATAGAGCATCTCAAGCAAGGCTCCATTAAGAAAAGCAAAATGGGGAACAAAATCTGTTGCTTTGGTCTAGAGGAGTTGGTGTGTGTTATGTCTTTCCCTTGCATTGGATCATGGCCCACTCAGCAGAGGGTCAACCTTATGTCATTTACTGTATTATATTCTTTGTTTTTATCTAGAGGAGCCTCTGTGTGTAAGGTATAAGAACTGTTGTAAACAGCATATGACTTTTCATAGCATTCCTGCTGCCACAAAAATAACTTCTCTTGCACAATGTTTCTTAAATAAACATTTTTTTTTGCAGTAGTGAAAATAGTGGGATGAAAGAAGGGTGTGCCCCTGATAAGATCCAGGAAAGCAAGGGGCAAGGCATACCATCCCTGTGAAGCCTCGTGCTCTAAAAACTTGTAGGATTGCTTGATTTGAAGTAGGTAACCCAGATGCAAATGATTTGGTTTTCTTGATAAACACTGGAAAGAGGCCAATATGCAGTCAAGCAAAGACTGGAACAGAGGCAATAGAGAACACCCAGTACATAAAACAGCAGCCTAGAAAGCAGCAGTTGGAATAAAGAATAACAATGATGCCCAGCAGAGTTGCCAGCTATTAGCAGATACAGTTATTCTTCCCACCTATGCAGCTCAACATATTAGGCTTGCATTTAGAATGCAACAGAGTATCTACAGGTTTATATTACGATAAGGCATCTAAATGTTACCACTGATCTCATTCAACTATTAATGGCACCCTCATGTTTGCAAGAAACTTGCCTAGTTTCTAACAGACTGTACGTGGTACAGGAGAGGATGTGGGTCAGTGAAGCCAAAGAAAGCAGTAATCACTGCTCTGGCTGGCCACAACACACTCCCACGAATTATCCTATCTTTAGTTGATATTAGGATATACTAAAGAGCATCCAGTAATCTGTGTATCCTAGTTGATGTTTCTCTAGATGAGTTGGGGGACAGAGCCTTTTCTGCAGCATCACTTTGAATATTGGGTTGCTACGAGTTTTCCAAACTGTATGGCCATGTTCCTGAAGCATTCTCTCCTGATCTTACACCCACATCTATAGCAGGCATCCTCAGATGTCGTGAGGTCTGTTAGAAACTAGGCAAGTGAGGTTTTAAATCTGTGCAATGTCCATGGTGGGAAAAAGAAGTATTGTCTTCCTGAGGCAAGCATGAATGTTGCAATTGGCCACCTTATTTAGCATTGAATGGCCTTGCAGCTTCAAAGCCTGGCTGCTAATCAAGGTGGTCAACTGCAACATTCACACTTGCTTTAAGCAGACAAGAGTCCTTTCTCCGACTCTGGATATTCCACAGATATAGAAACCTCACTTGCCTAGTTTCCAGCAGACCTCACAATCTCTGAGGATGCCTGCCACAGATGTGGGTGAAACGTCAGGAGAGAATGCTTCTGAAACATGACCATACAGCTCGGAAAACTCACAGCAACCCAGTGATTCTGGCCAAGATAGCCTTAGACAACACACTTTGAATATATTTTATTCCCTCTTAAGGAGATCAGATTAGCCTCAATTAACTGAAGACAAACAGTGAAAACAGCAATGTTTTGTCAAGGCTTTGCAGTTTTTAATATAGCTCTGATCTGTTTTTTAAAAATACTTTCATTCTTATCCTATTTTGTTGCAATTTTATTGCATTATGCTTTTGTTTCCCAAAACATTGCTTTGAATGTTTTGGTAGGCAAGAAAGTGAAGTGTAAATAACTTTGGTATGTAAATAAAAGTTCTAGAAATGGGACTTAATGAGAGTCACCCAACAGAGAGCTGCTACTCTCTAGAAAGGAGTTGATAAAGACAAGCTTGAAAATATAAGGTGAGTTTTATTTTATTATAACTACTATTCCTAGAATCAATGTTGCCAATGGTCATGGTGGCTACAGGATCCTGGGAGTTGCTGTTCAAAAGGTAACTCTTCTTAAAACTGGCATAAACCCTCTGAAACCTGAATGTCATCATTCCACTGAGGAGAGCGATAGGTGGATTTCTACCAATGGGGCTCATTTTGAAGAACAGATCAAAGACAGACATAGGCATGCTTTTAACTGGGAATAAAGCGTAGGATTAGTACTGTTGCAACCACTTCCTAGCCGTGTATATGGGAACTTAGGAAACCTTTTGCCTGGAGCAGAGCTCTTGACTTCTGGGGTCTGCCTGTGTGTTGGGTGGGTCTGTGCAGAGGGCTGGGGAGATGGTGAAGGTGATGCTTGCGTTTGTGGGTTTTGATCATTAGAATGAGAGTCCTCTTTTTTCTCTGTCTGTCCTTGGAGTTTTTCCTTCTTTTTTTCCGTACCGCTGCAAAACAAAGTATAAGAACATATACATTTAAAACACCTTTTGGAAATCATACAGATTAAAAAAAGGCTTGAAATATTTGTCCACAAGAAAGGAGAAAGGATATAAACAGATAACAGGTCAGATTAACTGTTCATAAACCAAATACTTAAAATGATGGTCTTCATCTACAGTAGTGTTTCTCAACCTAGGAGTCAAGACCCCTAGAGGGGGTTGCGAGGGGGGTGTTAGAGGGGTCACCAAGGACCATTAGAAAACACAGTATTTTCTGTTGACCATGGGGATTCTGTGTGGGAAGTTTGATCCAATTCTATCGTTGGTGGGGTTCAGAGTGCATCTACAACTCCCAAATGTCAAGATCTATTTTCCCCAAACTCCACCATATTCACATTTGGGGATATTGAGTATTCATTCCAAGTTTGGTCCAGATCTATTATTGTTTGAGTCCACAGTGCTCTCTGAATGTAGGTGAACTACAACTCCAAAACTCAAGGTCAATGCCCACCAAACCCTTTCAGTATTTTCTGTTGGTCATGGGAGTTCTGTGTGCCAAGTCTGGTTCAATTCCATCATTAGTGTAGTTCACAATGCTCTTTGATTGTGGGTGAACTATAAATCCCAGCAATTACAACTCCCAAATGACAAAATCACCTCTCCCCCCAACCCCACCAGTATTCAAGTTTGGGTATATCGGGTATTTGTGCCACATTTGGTCCAGTGAATGATAATCCATCCTGCATCTCAGATATTTACATGACGATTCATAACAGGAGCAAAATTAGTTCTGACTTAGCAATGAAAATAATGTGGTAGTTGGGGGTCATCACAACATGAGCAACTGTATTAAGGGGTTGCAGCATTAGGAAGGATGAGAACCGCTAATCTATAGTTTGTTCAAGAACTCCTCTTTACTTATTAAATATATTGGAGAATGTCTCTGCAAGTTTACTTTCTGAAAAAAGCTTTGTTTTAGAGAGTATGGTTTTGGAGCATGCCTTTCCCCAAGCCAAGTCCACATTTCACAAATTATCATACACGAGAATTTTTTCCAGCAAAAAGCATATTATTGAAACAGATGTGTTCCTTTATTGTTGAACACCTCAAAGTTATGGGTGGATTCATTTCCAGTAAAAGCACATTCAGATGCTCTGTACATAAACAGAAGCTTCATTTTCATATCTTTAAAAAGGAATCCCTATATATATAAGCTATACACATTTTAGTTCACATTTACATTTAGCTTAAAAAATTAGTACTAGAGAGAACTTGCAGTTCTTTCCAGGATCTCTGACAAGGCAACATGGCATGGAAAAACAAACTGTAGGAAATAGCTTACCAGTAAAGAAAATATCTTTGAAGATTAGTATTATCACAGCTGTATTGGCAATACTGTACTTGCTTGTTTTGTGATAGTTCATTTACCAGTTAGCCTACAGTGGACTGACTATTGCCTTTATTGTCTCTCATGGCTCATTACATCCTAGATTAGATTGGTAATGACAGCTAAACTGTAAATGGGGCTGCAAATGTTTTCTTTGCGATTATACAAACGTTAACAATCCAAGGTACATTTCTACTAATATGCTAGCTATTGACTGGCATATTGCATCATGGTATTTGTCAGCTAAGCTCTTTAATCTAGAAAGGAAAATACTATCCCATTATCTGAAATAAAGCAGATTTCTGAAATTACAAAGTATAGGTTAGAAAGAAGTATAAAGATCATTACCAGTTAGAATCATCCATACCACAGCATTTCCAATTTGAAGAAGTTAGACTGTAAAGAAAGCTGACAAGAAAAGAACAGACTCATTTGAAATGTGATGCTGTGCTGGAGGAGGGTTCTGTGGGGACCATGGATTGTCCAAAAGATAAATACATGTATCCAAAGGCAAATTTAGATTGACCTGTTGGTTGAAACTATATTATCTGAATTGTCGTACTTTGAACGTGTTTCACTAAGAAAAAAAGAATGCTTGTTAGAATGGAAGATATTTGGGCAAAGAAGAAATCATCACTACAGATGAATGAATGGATTGAATCATGAAAGCCATAGCTCTGAGTCTGGAAGACTTGAGAAAGGCTCTCAGTGATTTGGGATCTTGTGGAAATCTCTCATTCAGAGGGGAGAATCCAAAGACAAACCCATGTTAGTCTGCAATGCAATATAGTTTGCCTGTCTAAACACATTTCCCTTTTTGAACCACTGCAAAGTCTAAGATCTTCTGGGGAGGCCCTGCTCTCGGTCCAGTCACTGTCACAGGCCTGTTTGACAGGCACGAGAGAGAGGGTCTTCTCAGTGATTGCCTCCCTGCTATGGAACTTCTTTCCTGGTGAGATTAGACCAACCCCCTCCCTCTTGTCCTTCAGAAAGATGGTAAGAACTTGGCTGTGGCACCAAGCCTTTGGGACAGTGCAATAAGGCAATAATAGGAAACCCATTCCGCTGACCGGAGCCGGCATGGTGTTTTGAGATGGTTTTAAACAACTGATTTTAAAGAAGATATAACTGATTTTAATGTTTGTGTATATTTATAGCTATTTTATGTTCCAGCATGGAATGCTTGCCATATATATGTTGTTTTCCGCCCTAAGTCACCTTCAGGTTGAGAAAGGCAGAATATAAATGTTTCAAATAAGGGATCTTTAGTACCTTAGAGACTGAAAGAACCCAGTTGGTAGCATAAACTTTCATAGACTATTTCCTCTGATGGATGGTGTGAGCACAGACATAGATATATTAGTCTGGATCAATATACAAAGGGATTTTGCAGCAGCTTAGATACCAACAGAGAAAAAAAAACTTGGTCGCGTAAGTTTTCAAACTTTAAAAAAACTCAAGTCACCAACCTTTCTCACAGTCTCAAGTTACCAACCTTTCTCACAGTCTCAAGATGTCATTCACAGGGTTGTCACAAGCCAAAGCTTAACTGATGGAGAATAACAACAACATATGGAAAATAACTTGGGCTTAAAACAAAATCCACCTGTGGGCAACAAAATTAGTACTTGCTAGTGGAAGGAGAGGAAGGAAGACATCCCTAGGGAGCAAGTTCCAAATCCAGGGAGCAAGCTCCTATGTTCCCACCAAACTCCAAAGGATTCGCTCACCCTTGTGGAATTTTAATAGGTACTAATAAAAGGATGGCCCCGTTCTTGTCATTTTCATGCAGAACTAAACACCTGTCTTGATTTTTAGTTTGGGTTTATTCTCACTTGTCTTCTAGGCATGCTCTTTCTTGCAGGTCAAAAGTAGAAAGGATTCAGAAACAGATTCTATATACTCAGTGCAGATTGTATCTAGGATTTAGAAAAGTTTCTCATTGAACCTTTAAGTAATTTCAATGTGGAAGAGAAAATGTTAATCAATCTACTTTGGTCAAGGCCAAATGGTACAGGCAGAGCTTCTGGAAAAACTAGATTCAATGAACACCAGCGATGCAGTAATCAAGGTTCCATTGTCCTAATTTCAGCAGGAAATAGATCTCGTAGAAGAGATTTTTCCAAACTGAAATGGCAATGAGTGGTTTTGATTATATACTATGTCCCATTCCTAGAAAATGGCACACTGATGACCAGTTCTATATTAAGAATGTTAAGAAAAGAACCACAGAGCTGTACTCTGCATGAACAAAGCAGCAGCTGGTGTTTTTCAAGTCAGTGGTGCAGTGCTGGGTTTTAGTCTGAAGGATATTTATTCAAGAAGGATATTGACAAGCTAGAATGTGTCTGAAGAAGAGCAACCAAAATGTTCAAAGGTCTGGAAAATATACCCTATGGGCAACAGTTTAGGAAGCTGGATATCTCTAACCTGTAGAAGATTAAAGAAAGAGCAAACTTGTTTTCTTCTGCTCCAGAGATGAAATTATGGGGCAATGAATTCAAACAAGAGAAAAGAAATTCTAACTAAACGTAAGAACTTCCTGGTGGTAAGAGCTGTTTGAAAGTGAAATAGTCTGCCTCAGAGCATGATGGTGTCTCTTTCTTTGGAGGTTTTTAAGCAGAGGTTGAATGGCCATCTGTCAGGAGTGTTTAGATTGTGTATTCATGGCAGGAGTCTGGTCTGGATATCCCTTGTGGTGTCTTTCAACTCTATGATTCGAAGACGCTCAATTTATTTTAATGACAGAATTCAGCAGTTCTAAAATTCTAATTAAAACTCCAATCAGATTAACCACCCTATTGAGGTATAATCCATCAGATGCTTTTGTTTAAAAAACTAATTTTAATGTAGGCTCCCAAGATTTAGGTCTAATTTAATGCACTTGGGAAAGATTACTTTTACTGAAGAGTTAATACAATAATTATGCTACCGACCTTTAGTTGTATTTGCCTAAAAAATTCAAATACAGCCTGTCTCAAATGGCTTTTCTTCACTGAGCCCTAATAGTCAAAAGAAGTCTACATATTGCAAACTATAAAAATAGAATATCCTCAAATGTTGTAAGACCGGATGTGATAAGCTTAGGAGCTATGGAGAGAATTACATTCGAAAGCCATGAGGAGGGGACAGAGAAAAGAATCAGATTCAGTTGAATGTGACTTAGCAAGAATTTTACGACTGCCTTGGTGGAACAAAACCTATAGAAGAATCTGAATTATGGGGTATTATGTGGAATTATGGACAACGTATAGGTCTCGAAAATCTCAGGCATGTCTCTAAGAGGAATGGAAAAGAAATTTGTCTGGTTCATATTTGTTCTTTACAGAAATACCTATTCTGCACGCTGTCGATTGGCAACCGGACAAAACACATCTCGCCTCAAAAATCTATACATTCCTGAGATAGACAATGCATTGCATTGAAGCATATGTGCTTGAAAAATGAGCACAACTAAAAATGTGAATTTGAAAAATGTGCACAAATATGCTTTTGTCAATCAAAAAAGTGTTGGGGAGGATTCACAGACTTGGGAAATTGTATATCAAATACTCATGAATTTCTATGCAATAAGACTAAGAAAGTCTTGCAATCCCAATAGCAAAATATTAGGTGTTCCCATCTCCAAGCTGGAGTTTGCTACTGTGCTACACAGTGCTAGAGGAGAAATAGGAATATTTTTTTTCTCCAACATTTCAATGAACTAAAAGTCCCAGAAACCCTTGCAAGGCCAATGGTGAGGAATTTCAGGAGTCTCAGTCCAAAAGCTTCTGGAGAACTGCATGATCCCCACCATTGCACTACAGCAATGACAATACTTTTTCACTGAAGTATGGAGTCTGCAGAAACTTGGGAGACTACAATGCAGAACAGTGTAGCTGACATGAAGTTTGAGTCTTTAGTTGTATATACAGTATTTCTAACAGTCCTCACCCTTTATTCTTGTAACATACACAACTTAATATTCCTTACTGTGAAACATTGGTAAGAGTTGTCTTTCATTCAAATGAGGCTTTGAGCCACTCTAAACTTCAATCCAAGCTTTAAAATAGCTAGCCATGCTGCTGCGTCTCAGTTTTAGCCTAGATGTTTCACCTTCGATAGCTCCCTATACATTTGGACTTAACATGGGAGCAGATATATCTCTCTTTCTTTGCCCTTGCCTCTTGAAAGCTGCACTGGAGTCACTTTGAGGCTCATATAGGGGCATAAAGGAAAAGTTGCCCATAGAGTGACATCCTCAGAGGTAGGGAAAAATTGAGATGTGATACATGAAAAATCAATTTTTAAAAAATTCCCTCAATTCAAAACAAAATTGCAGTTTCTCAAGTCGCTCCTGACATGACAAAAAACAAACAAAAACAAAACAAAATTGTCAGTAACCAACACCAAGCTACTTTGTTTTTATTTTCAAGTTTCATCTCATTCATTTAGAAGCAAGACCACCATTGCTCCTGAAAAAGAAAACTGACTGCTGTAATATAATTTCATTTCCCTAATCTAGTTTTTCCTTTTAAAAAATTACTTTCCTATTTAATTCACTCTCTCCGTATTCTACATTATACCAAAAAGAAAAATTAGACAGTAAAAGTCTGTTGTCTCTATGGAGACAAGGAATCAGTCACAGGTAATTTGCCAGATGGCAAATCACTGATGGTGGGCTTGCATCTCGGGTTGGATAAAATCCAAAAATTCTGCTTTATAAGCAACACAGGAGAGTGCTGGGGGAGCGAGGGTGTCTATTGTCTTCTTGGCATCCAAAGCTCATCTGGAGGATTTTCTTGATCCTCTCAAGCAAGATATTTCAGGGTTGATATTTGAGTAGCTGGGACGTGAGCGTGTATGCACATGCTTGCACAAATTAGTAAATTCCCCACTTCCCAATTGAATCTTTGGACCCAGACCATTCTCTCTATCAGGTAAAAACACAAACCATTGTTCTGAAATAATAAAAGGTCTGTTTAACATTCCAAGAGGGACAATATAAAATGAATCCTTAACATATTGTATTGGTTTCAAGTTTATCTTAATGAATTCCATGTTCCAAACTGTGCCTCCAAAAAAGGACATTTCCCAGATAGTGAATACACAAATGGAAGAAATATGAAACTTGAAATAAGTCATCATCTTCTGTTTGAATCAAGGATGAGCATAACAATGTCTTCAGGCCACACGTCTCCACCAAGGCTGTTTTGGGGTCCCCAGCTCCTCCAGACTCCATGGATCATACTTTTCTGACACTTCCACCCAAGAAAGTGAATTGACTCTTTGGAAGCCTCTAAAGACTCTGTCACACTACACAAGTATAGCACTCTGATTCCACTTTAACTATCATAGCTGCATCATATGGAATCCTGAGGCTTGTAGTTTGGGGAGGCACCAAACTTCTTTTATTAAGAATGCCAAATAACTCTCTCTAAACTGCAAATCCCAGGATTCCATAGGATCAAACCATATCTGCCAAGGTGAAGGTACACCACAATAATTATGAAAGGATCCCAGGAGTGACAATTCATCTTCTAAATAGAGCTCAGTCCTCAATACCCTGTTTTAACATCATAAATGTTTTTCAAAATCAAAAATGGTCTTTGGGGCTATTTCAGATTTCAAATTATTTCAGTTGTCAGCATTCCAGATAGGGGATACTCAACTTGTACATACACAAATTAGTTAGTTACTTAGCATACAGATTGAGTGCCCCTTATCTGGAATTCTGAAAAACAAAAATAATCCAAAATCTGAAATAGTCCACATGGCTGGCTGAGATAATGACACGTTTGCTTTCTGATGATGCAAAACACACAAACTTTGTTTTATAGACAAAATTATTTTTTAAATATTGTGTATAAAATTACCCCTAGGCTGTATGTATGAAACATGAATGAATTTCGTTCGTGACTTGGATCCTATCTCATTATGAATGGATATCATACGAAAGCTGACTGGCACAACCTGGGGATCACAACCAGACACAGTGAAGACATCTGCCCTTGCGCTATGCTACTCTGCTGCTGAGTATGCATGCCCAGTGTGGAACACATCTCATCACACTAAAACAGTGGATGTGGCTCTTAATGAGACATGCCGCATTATCAAGGGGTGTCTGCGCCCCACACCACTGGAGAAATTACACTGCTTAGCCGGTATTGCACCACCTGACATCCGCCGGGAAGTAGCAGCCAATAGTGAAAGGACCAAGGCAGAGACATCTCCAGCTCATCCCTTGTTTGGGTATCAGCCAGCACGTCAACGACTTAAATCAAGACATAGTTTTCTTAGATCTACAGAGACACTCGCTGGAACACCCCAGCAAGCGAGAGTCCAAAAGTGGCAGGCCCAAACCCAGCACCTCAATTCATGGGTGATACCAGATGAGAGACTCCCTCCTGGGCACTCAGAAGACTGGGCGACTTGGAAGGCGCTCAACAGATTGCGCTCTGGCACCACGAGATGCAGAGCCAATCTTAAGAAATGGGGCTACAGGGTGGAATCCTCGGCATGCGAGTGTGGAGAAGAACAAACCACTGACCACCTGCTGCAATGCACCCTGAGCCCTGCCACATGCACGATGGAGGACCTTCTTGCGGCAACCCCAGAGGCACTCCAAGTGGCCAGATACTGGTCAAAGGACATTTAACCAAATACCAAATTTACAAAATCTGTGTGGTTTTTTTTCTTTCTTTTCTTTTCTTTTTCTTTTTAATCTCTGTGTTTGTTTTGCTCTGTTAGAATTGTAATACAATGGTTGCTGATGACACGATAAATAAATAAATAAATAAATAAATAAAATGAATGGATATGCAAATACAGATATTCCAAAATTCAAAAAACTTTTGTTCTCAAGCTTTTTGGACATGGGAGACACAACATGTATTTATATCCTGCCCTCTTCCCAAAGATTTCAGGTTAAGTTACAATAATGTCAGTTTAGAACAGTAAATAACAGTAATTTTTAAAAGATTGAACACATATGGAATGACTTACTCAGATGATTTAAACATGTTAAAAGCCATTTCAAACAGTGCAACCACAGCATACACATAGCCAGGGTAAAATCAATTAGGCCCAAAAGCTTCAATAAAAATTACATTTTGCTGTTTCCTATTTTCTCTATATTGAAATGTATGTTCAAGTTACATGTTCAAGTTACATGAAGACAATTTTGAATTCTGACGTTGAGAAATTCCACTAAAAGGTAGTATTATCCACTGTTCTTTCTACCTTTCTCTTACACGATTCTCTTTACAGTTGTCTGGAATTCATATTGCTCTGAAAAATTAAGAATGTTAAACCACCGTATCAGCATACTATTATCAGCTAGTTCAGCAAAGGCTAAGAAGAAAGATAGTTGTTATTACAGCTTATATTTCTTACACTTTCGTCATCTTGGGGTTTTGATACCACAGGAAAAATGAAATTATATGGCCCCAAACCACAGATCATGTGAAATAGCATTAAACCTGGGAAAATGAAAGAGAAAAGGCAAGTTGTAGATCCATAAAAACTGTGATCAGCCTTTGCGAAAATAAAGATGTTCGAACTCTCTGTGCCATTCCCTCTGCATCACTTCCAGCAGCACTTGATGTAAACAGATACCTTCACAACTAACTCTTCCTTACTCATTCTGCTATCAACATCTTGGGAATTAGTCTAGCTACATAAAATCTATCCAGATTTCTGGACTTTCTGCTTCTTTGACTATCCCCAATTTTTCTACCATCTAACTCAAGGACAGGCCAAATATTATCTCCAAAGGGCACTTTGACCCCCCTACACAGCCATCTGTTGTTATTCATTTAATGTTTTCCACTTTAACGGCAAATGTATTATGTCCAAAAAGAATCTAAGAGCAAAATAAATTTAATCAATTCTCCAAGGTCCTTGGAGAGTGTGATCTATCCTTCCTAACCCTTGGAAGTTGTACTATACTTAGGAAGGGGTCTAGAGAACTCAAAAGCTTGCATAGTTCTGTAATATTTGGTTGTTTTAAAAATTATTATCCAGCTCTGAATTTTAATTTTATTTATTTATTATTCATGAGTCCCTTTTTCAACCCCGAAAGGGACTCAGAGCGGCCTCACATTCGGCAGCAATTCAATGCCATCAACAGACAATAGAAATTAAACATGTACATTAAAATAAAAATTAAAAGCAATATAAACATTAATTTTTAAAATCACATAATCCGAGGACATAGTCAAAGGCTGCTCTGGTCATTATTGCACATAATTCTACTTTCGCTTATTGCATAGCACTATTGGCCAAAGCCTTAGCCCCAGAGCCATGTTTTACTTGCTTCCTGAAGGTCAGACCCCACTTGTACAGTAACTTTTAAAACCTTCAAAACTGTTTTCTCAATGGGGATTTATTCAGTTAAAAAGAAAGAAGATGAAATAGGCAATACCTTTTAGCAGCAGACGAGAAGGTTTCTTTCCTCGCTATAGGCACAGAAGGACTGTGGCTGGTTTTTCGGCTTCCTGCACTTCCATTGGTGATGCAGGACATGGAGATCGCTTCCCGGAGGCTTGGCTGACCTAGAACAAATGCAATTAGAAGATAGTTTTGTAACAGCCTTCAAAACATCCATCTGACATTTAAATTGAGATTTATACCATTTCAGACTGCAACTGATAGGAACGGCAGAGAGGATAAAATGGCTACCCATCTGGCATATGCCTAGCTACTTTGTCCTTCAACAATGGTGGTCCAACTGAATCCAATGCAAACAGTCCTTAGAAATATTGTTTTATTATGTTTAAACTAATAAGCCACCATTTGGAATCACAGTTATAATTCCAAGAGACTTTTTCATTTTGTAAGGGGGGTATTTTTCCTTAACATAAAATAAATATTACTTTCTTTTTAAAGTTTTAGCTGTTGTCCTGTAAGTTTAAATCTGTGACTGGTTTGTAACTGAAATAAAAATGAACAAACTTATAACATACTTAATACATATGTTAATGAAATAAATAACTTGTTGACTAGTCTTATGATGTATTTGCTATTCTATCCTAAAACATAAAACATTAATGTTTAAAAAATCTGGGTTATTGAGGTTTTCCCCACATCAATTGCATTATTAGCAATAAAATTAAACCAAGCATTAGGTTGCTAGAGATCCTCAGTTTGTAGAATTATTTTATAGAATATCAAATATTGTAGGAAGATTGGAGTTCAAAGGAACAACAAATGTCTGTTATAATCCATACTGGACAGCTAAAGCAAAGTCTTGTGAAAACAATATTACGAGGGGGTGTGCAATTAAAGCTTTCCCTTGACCCACTTCTATTTATCACAGGATGCTGAAACTACATGTGATATAACTATAAGTTATGTGCCAATTTACAACTCAGAACTGATAACTGTCTTGATTTTACAGGTGCTGAAGTGGTGTGAGGTTTGATAATGGACCCAGGAGAATACAGAGCAGTCATCCAAGTTCCTTTACTTGAAAGGCCGCACACCAAAGGAGACATTCAATAAGATGAAAGAGATTTATGGTGATGATTTCTCATCATATGATGTAGTCAAGAACTGGCATTGTCAATACAAATATAGTTGAACTTAGGTGAAAACAGTTCCAATTCCAGGGTGACTCCACTCTGCTACTGATGAACACACCATCCAGCAAGTGGAGGTTGCCATTTTGGAAAATTGCTGCGTAACTATTCACCACCTACCTGAAAATTTATTTATTTATTTCCAACATTTCTACCCCATCCTTCTCAACTCTCGAGGGGGGACTCAGGGTGGCTTACGACGGGCAACAGTTCAATGCCACAACATAAATAAAACATTGAGTTAAAACAAATTAAACATGTCAATATTAGTGTGGGGTCCGTGGAAAAAATCATCCAAGACCACATGCAAAAGATATCCACTCACTGGGTCCCCTGGCTGCTCACGCCTTTCCAGAAGCAGGGACAAGTTGAATGGTCTTAGGCTCTATTGACGATGTGCCATGGAAACCAGGAGGACTTTTTCAACAACTGATAACACAGGATTAAAGCTGGATCCATCACTATGATCTTGAGACTAAAATCCAGTCAATGCAATGGAAGCACTCAAAGAAGACACGTGCCCAACTCTCGGCAGGCAAGGTCTTGCTCACAGTATTTTGGGACCAGAGCGGAGCAGTGTTGATAGATTTCCTAGCAAAGGGTACCATGATCACTGGGGCATACTATGCTTCACTGCTGCAGAAATTGTGGGAGGCCATCAAAATCAAGAGACGTGGCATGCTCACCAAAGATGTCCACCTTCTGCAAGACAAGCCACCAGTTCACAACTCAAATGTTGCCCAAATGGAAGCATGCTCCTGTGGCTTTAAAATCCTACCGCATCTCCCTTATTCACCCAACCTCACACCATCTGATTTCCAACTCTTTCCAACAATGAAATTATTTTTGAAGGGAAAGCATTTTTCAGATGATGAGACTCTGATTTCCAAAGTCACAACATGGCTATTAGAGCAACCTGTTGACTTCTATAAGCAAGGTGCTTACAGTTGATTAAAAAGATCGGAAAAGTGTGTGTCCCTAGGTGGCATCTATGTAGAGATGACTAATAACTGTGCCAAGTTTCATTGCTCTCACTCCACAGGAAGTGGGTCAGGAGAAATCTTTAATGAATGCCCCTTTTATCACTTTGTGGTACAGACTAAAAGGTACATCTTCTATAACATTGTTTCTGTAAAGAAGACATAGCATCATATGTGTCTTCATAAGCATCCTAAGATGCTTGCAGCACAGTTGTTCCACGGAGTCCCACGCTGCCCATCACACAAGGCGCACAAACTTCCGGCGGGGCTCTGTCAATCAACTGTGGCGCAAGCATGCCAGACAATGAATTATGACAAATCTATGAATGAAAAGACCTCAAAGAGCCCAAGACATCAACTGTCTGGCTCAAGTCACGCAAAATGAACAAAACATCCTCCTGCCAAGTGGTTTTCCTCTTTTTCTACTGCTTTCTACTTTGATAAGCATTTTCAAACCTCTTTTGCAAAGCAGCAAACAACTTTCGAGTTGCTAACCACCAGGTGGCTCTTATTTCGCCAGCTCTTTCATGGTGATTCAGTTTAATACACTAAAATTATTTTCCTACTGAGCACCTGAACAGGTAACTAAAATAAATATACACACATAGTTTTTAAGAAATCAGTTACTGTTATAGTTTTTGCTAGAGGAAATTAATATTGCTTCTTTCTTGATTTTCAAAAACAACTGGAGTATTTTATTTATTTATTTACAGTATTTATATTCCACCCTTCTCACCCCACAGAGGACTCAGGGTGGATTACAATGTACATATACATGGCAAACATTCAATGCCGCAGACACACAACACATATAGATATACAGTCAGAGGCTATTTAACATTCCAACCTTTTCTGGCCACCAGGGGAGCTGTCACTTCACCATCCATCTGCGACACTGATGAAGTACTTCCTCATTCCCCGTATGCTCGCTGATCTTTATGGCCTTGTAAATTAGTTAAATTAGCCTCCCCACAAAGTGGTACCAAAATTTCCTACTTGACAGATCCAACTGTCTTTCGGGCTGCAAAGGTCTACAACAAGCTACGCAAATTTGGTCGGAAGCTCACTCCGACCCAGGCTGGCTTGCAACTCATGACCTTTTGGTCAGTAGTGATCTTAATGCAGCTGGCACCCAGCTAGCTGAGCCACAGTCCCGGTGTATTTACTTAAAAAACGTTCTCCTTCTATCTTATCTTAGCTTCGCTTCAGTACCCATAACTGAGCATAAGGCACCATTGTGCTCTTGAGCCATTTAATATTCATTCTCTAACATTCCATGAGACCACACAGAACTATAAAGATAACTATAGGAGCATCTACGCAGTAGAATGATTGCAGTTTGACACCACTGTAACTGCTGTGGCTCAATGCTATGGAATTTTGTGAGTTGTAGTTTGCTGAGGCATCAGCACTCTTTAGCAGAGAAGGCTACAGACCCTATAAAACTACAAGTCCCAAGGTCCCATAGCATTGGATAGTGACAGTTAAAGTGGTGTCAAGCTGCATTAATTCTGCAGTGCAGATGAACGCCTTGGTACACATGTCACAAATTAAATCAAATATCCTTACCAAGATATAATCATAATGCAATGTACTTATTGCAAAAAGAGAGAGATTAATTACAAGTAACTCAGTATTTGCTACTGCTTATTCCCATGTTTTGCATGCATGCATGCATGAATATTTAAAATGATTCTATAACAATAAATTACCATAATAGGAAGGCAGGAAAATGAACTTTTCTGTCTGTTATATTATACTATGCATGAATATGTAAGGCGATTACAAGAATTAGAACATTTAAACATAGGATATAATATGAAGACAAGTTTTAAAAAAATTAGTCACTGGAGTAATATTTTAAGAGAACTCACAGCTGACATGTAGCTGAGCTGGGCACAGGGAAAGTGCCGTAATTACTTTGTTGTCAAAGGAAGTTCCTTTTACACAGTGTAGCTTAAAGCAACCCTGGCTAAATGCCACTGAGTACTATTAACTAAATGATTTCATAGATCCTTCCTTGGGAGCAGAAGGACGGAAACTACATCAGGGATTTTTCATTTGCTCTTGAACTGTGGGTGAACTTTCTTTCATTCTGCATTATCATAATTGATCAATACCACGGAGGATGCCTTCAAAGTAATTATATGGCATCCCAAATGGTAGGGACCGAAATTGTAACTGCTCTAAATTTCCTGTCAGACACTGAAAGGTTTCCGTGAACAAGGTGCCTTCATATTTCATGCAGCTATATAAATATGGAGGTGAGACGGGTAGGCAGATATTTATTGGATGACAGAAATTAAAATTAATTAAAATGAAAATGGCCTTGATAAAGAGGGGGAAAAACAGAGAAGGAATTGAAAGAAATGTAAACATTTTTCTTCAAACCAGGGGCACAACAGGGGCAATTTGGGGGGGTTCCAGGGACCAAATTTTCCACACACAACATCCCCTTTTAATGAAATTGGAAGAAAGTAGAAATCTGCTCCCAGAGTTTTGAGAATTTTAGCTCTGGAAAGGCCTCAATTATCATATAATCAGAGAACTATGTGCTTAGGGAGCTTCAAGAATCATGGTTTTCCATTTAAATTATTATTATTTTTTTAATGGGAGCAACTTCAAGAGACTGCACAAAAGTCCTTGATGCGCCTCAAGATGCGCCTTACATTATGTGCTGGGGATTGATATCAAAACATCCTCTGGATATCAAAATTTGTCCATGCTCAAGTCCCATAATGGCACAGGAAAATGCAGCCCCTTACATGAAATGGCAAAATCAAGGTTTTGGGTTTTTTTGGACATTTTTAAATAAATATTTTTTCAAGCCATGTATAGCTGAATTTGTGGATACACTGGGCCAATTCTGTATTTATACTCATTTATATGGTATATTACACTGATCTATATACATTATCTTAGTACTGTTGTATAGTGAAGAAAAATGAATTCCAAAATGATTCCAATAGGCCAATAGTGTAGGATTTTTTAATG